CGGGTCTCTCGCGCCAAACATGCGCAACAAGGTCGGCCCGCCCGCCGGCTGGCGCTCGCGGGCGACGCGACGCCGGCGCCGACTGCGATGCCGACTGGGCCCGGAGGATTCCTGAGAGTCCCGGGAAGGGGCAGCGGGCCGCGATGGAATCGGCGCGGTCGTTGGCGCCCCCCCCGCGCCCGCCCCCCCTGCAAGCCGACTCCTCCTAGCTATTCCTATTCCTCGTGCCGCCTGTGCCACGTTTTATTCGCTCTCGTGCGTCTGTTCGCTCATGTCCTTGCATTGGGCGGTGAGCCGGATGGGGCAGGGGGGGGGGGGGGCGATCCTCGCCCTTATATGCTGGGTGCCCGACATCGCCGGACAAATAATTGTAGGCCAGCATTTTGCACGCGTATTTCGCGCGCTCTTTTCGGCTCCCACCCCTGGGTCTATCATGTCATGGACCTTGGCGCAGACAGGTTGCCCTTCCCCGCTCCGCCATCCGGCCTGGCGGGCGCGTGCCCCATGGCCACTCGGCCCCAGTGCTCTTTTCGCCGCTCTTTGCTATCAATTTTGCTGCCGCGCCCGCCGAGCATAACATGTTGGCTATTTTTCTGAGCCGGTAACTTCTCATTCTGTTGCAATACACTTAGAATGCAGCAGTCGCTGACCTACGTCCGCGCAACGTCAAAGAGGAGGAGGTGGGGGGGGCCCTTCTAAACTCTGCGAGCACCACAGGAGGATCGCCCGCGAGGGGGGGGGGGGGGGGGGGGGCGAAGACGGCCTCCGCGCGATGGGGCCCAAACCCTGGCAGGACCAGGGCCGGGCCTAGTCACCGCCGTGCCGCGACGACCAGCCGCCCGCCCCCCCCAACGGGGGGTCGGGGCCAACTGCGATGGCGGACGGGCCGCCCGCGCCCCCCAGGGGCGCGGCTGGGGCCCCGCTCGCCAGCCGCGGCCTCCTCTCTGCGAGGGCACTGGCCTCCCTCGACGCGGCTTCATATCTCATTGCCCTTGCGAGCGAGCCCTTCGCATTCTGGTGCCAGGCGCCTGCCGCCCACTGTCGCGCGCCCCCCGCGCGCGGCGCAGCAACTCATGGGGTGGCGCGCCCATGTCTGCCCTGCGTGCGGCGGGTGTGCGTTTCTGCTTGCCGCCAGAGCGCTCCTGCACATTGCCCCCGCAACGCCGCCATCAGGCAGGGGATGGGGGGGGGGCGCGACAGGTCGTGCAGGCCGCGCGGATGATTCTGGACGCTGGCACCGCTACCTTGCTCTGGCCTGGCCGCGCTGTCACTTGCCCCCCGCTCTGTCCCGGCGGCGGCTCGAAATAGCTGTGGCCGCTCTGAGTCTAGACGGAGGCGCTCGTCTGACAGCCATGGGTCGGCCTCTGTTGCCAATGCCAGGGACATGCTGGCGCGCGTTCGGACCGGGGCGCAAAGGCATCCCAATGGTCCGTGCTAAGCCCCCCTGAAGTCACCGATGTCGCCCACTTCCCACCCGCCGCCAGCCCCGCCTCCTCATCAGCCAGAGTATTTCCCTTGATTAAAAGTGGCCTCCCAAGTCAACGCCACTGTGCGGGGCTTCGTCACTGCGTGAAGGGATTCATTGCAAGGCCCTTAAGGCCACTTCCGTGGACCACTTCGTAGCCCCACGCGAATACCAAACCACATTTCCCGGTTCGCACCCTACCTCTCGCGGAATCGATGCTTGGACCACGGCTTGACCAATGGCTCATGGTCAGTCACGGAAATATTGCTCCACGCTCTAGACCGCCAACGCGAAGGCTTGCAACCCGGAGCGGGGAGCCGTCCGCCTTCCCCTACAAGGGTAGAAATCCCACGCCTGTCGCCATTCTCCAATCCTTGGCCGTCCGAGTTTCGTCATCGGGCAGGCACGCGGCCTCCGACGAGTAGGCATGGGAGGAGGACGAGCCCTGCGGCGAGGACCGCGGCAAAACCGCGGCAGGACCACCCGAAGCGCCCTGTTATTGAAGATGCTCCGAGCGCGGGCCGGGGATGGGAAGGGGGCAGGAAAAGGAGGAGGAGGAGGAGGAGAAGCCCATCCCACGGCCAACGCGAAGGCGGAGGAGAAGGAGGAGGAGGAGGAGGAGGAGAATGAGGAGGAGGAGGAGGAGGAAAAGGAGGAGGAGGAGGAGGAGGATGGAAGGGGGCAGGGGAAGCCCATCCCACGGCCAACGCGAAGGCGCAGGACGTCGTCCACATGCCCGCGCACGACTCCGCGAGCACGGGTCGTCGGCGCGAATAATCTGTGCGGGCTCTGCGGCGAGGTTCTGCGACCGAATGGCAATTTTTGCGGGCCAGCTGGATTTGCCTCGGAACTGGTGGGTCGTCGTGCTCGTCCACCAAAAGCAGTGCGAAGGGCACTGGTCGACAAAGGCTGCACGGTCACGGTGCTTGTTTGCGTGACTGGTTGAGCTTGCGGGTGAATGCCAGCGGTGTACATGGAGCGGGAGGGACGGTCCTATTCCACCAGCGCGAGACGCATTGGGAAGGGCATGGCGGGTCAAAACAGCCACTCCTGCAGCTACATACACTGTGGCTGTTTGGTATTGGGCCAGATGATCCCGAAAGGTCCTCCCTGTTCCTTTTCCCCTCTCCTCCTCCTTTCTCCTCCTCCCTCATAATGCTCCCCCTTTCCTCCTCCTCCTCCTCCTCCTCCTCCTCCTCCTCCTCCTCCTCCTCCTCATCATCATCATCATCATCATCATCATCATCATCCTCATCTTCCTCCTCCTCCTCCTCCTCCTCCTACTCGCTCCTTCTATGATTCCCTCCTCCTTTAACCCCTGTCGTTTTTCTTCCTCCTCCCCTTCCCTACTCGACACATCCTCGTGCCCAGCAGGCTGCTCCTCAATGACCTGTACGACAACGCTGACCAGGCCAAGTTGCGCGGTCTCACATCGAGGCCGCGAGGAGCACCCGCGCACGTGCTTACGCAGACGGAATCTATACACTGGGCCGTCCTGGCCCTGGCAAAGTGTATACGCCATCCTGGCCGAGGCCAGGAGGGTCGTCTATACACCATCCGGGGGCCCAGGACGGCCCTGGCATGGCACGGCGGTGGTGTACAGGTGCCTTCGTCGGAATGCTGGAACACGTGGGAACGAACCAAAGCTCAGTGCGGGCGGAACAAAGGGTCAGTGAGTGAGAAAGCGAAGGGGTGCGCGAGAGACGCCTGCCCGTGCCAATTATGATACGGTGCCAATGCACCCTGCAACATGCTGCGAAAACTGCTTGCGGATCCGCCTCCCAAGGGCGACAGTGGGGAGCCACACCGCCACATGAGCGACGATTCAAAACGAGTCTTACGCGAGATGACGTAGCGACCTTCCGCGGTGGCTGTCGCGGGCCGCCCGCACGGCAAGCCACGTTTGAAGCGAGGGCGCGCACGCGCGACCTTACGTGGGCAGCTTACGCGCCAACGTCGGCGCAGATGACCCCGATATCTTCCGTCGCTCACATGAGCACACGCTCAGGACGTCCGCGGACGATGTCTCCACCAGTGCTGGACACCTCCCCGCACCCCTCCCTGCGAGGCGGGGACATGTCCACAACTACTGTTAGGTCGGGCATGTCCTTCTATGGGCGGATTTTGGAGGAATGAATATTCAAAACATGTTCAACCATACTTCAAAACATATTCGAAAGATGGTCCCCAGACTTTTCTTCCTATTCTTGAATACTCCTCCTGTAGAGGGACATGCCCGACTTAAAACTACCGCCCGGGGAATCGATCTTCGGGCATCGCGGCAGGCGGTGGCTGTGGCTATCCCTTGGCCCCACAGGACCCGAATACCTCCCCATCCACCGCCTGCTGAGGTCCCCGAAGATCGGTCCCCCAAGCGGCGGATGGGCAAATTTTCCACCACCACTACCGTAGGTAGGACGCGGGCGAAGGGAGAATGGGGAGGTCCCCCTCCTCCTCCTCCTCCTTCTCCCCCTCCTCCCTCTCCTACCTATGATAGTGGTGGTGGGAAACCTGGCCATCACACGAAGGGAACGTTGGGGGGGGGACCGGCTCAGCGGGGGAAACATTGACCTGGAATCGGCGATACATCGCCGTCAGATCGGCGACAGGCCCCCGACAGCGAACCCGAAAACGTTCCTGGGTGGGGTGGGCTATCAGGCCCCTATCGGCGATGCATGTGAAGTTCGTAGTTGATGCATTCCCCCTGAGCCCCCCCTGACGTTGCCCCTGGCTGGGCTCATGGATACGCCCCCGCTCTGACCCCCCTGGTGCGCGCAGCGCTTGGGGCTTAGCAGAAGGCGCCGCCCAGGGGTGCGGGGAAGGGGGCCCCGCGCCAACAGGAAGCGACCGTCTGCGGACGTCCGAGGTCGGTGTGGGTGGCGACGTCCGGACTCTTTTGCTTGTTCTGGACGTGGGTTGGGGTCAGGCGCTGACTCTCGGCAACACCAGGCCGAACGATAGCCCGAGAAGACAAACGAGCGAGGGCCAAAGAAAAGACACAGCGGCTTCCCGGACCCTATTTCCCCCAATCCGTCGATTCTCCTCCAGTCGGCGGCGCGCCCAGGGGGAAGTGAGAGGGGGCGGGCCACCTTAGAAAGGTTCGGAAGTCCCCCAGCCTTCTGAAAGTTACCTAAACCTTCCCCAAAGACAGAGAAAACCTCTCAGAATGCGCGATCTCTTCTGAGAAGTCCCGCCGCCTTCCGAGAATGCCTTCTCCTCCTCACTTCCCCCCCTCGCTTGCCGCCAACACATCGACTCATCTCGATCGATGGGCGGCGGGGGTACGGTTCGGATCTCGCTGCATGCTCGACGAATTCCGAACCCTACCCCCGCCGCCGATGAGCCGCCAGCATCCTTGACTGGCGAGGGTGGGCTGCGGACCTCGCCGCCGACTGTGCCCGCAGGCTCTGGCGGCTCCCCAGACAAGCATGCTGCCGGCGCCCCTGTCGAGGTCGTGCCTGACAAGGCACAGGCCAACTCGGCCACAGCGGAAGAGCCCCGGCCGCTGCCCGCCGCGCGGTCGCCGCCGCCCTGCTCAGACCGGCTTCCCCTTCCAGTACACCGCGAGGACGCTGGAGGCCGGCTGTTTCCAGGGCGTGCCGCTGCGTGATCGGCTCGTGTGCGGCAACTCCGTGCCGTGATGACGACGTCGGCGTTGGATTCTGACACCGCGTGGATGGTTCCACCCTGAACGATCGCGGCCTTCCGATTGCGCAGATCATTATATGTCCGCCGATTCCAGGCGACTGGCGGCGTTCAACCTTGAACGCTCACGCTGGGATCGCCGCCGCGTCGACACGGAGCGAACCTACCGTATCTCGGTGAGACGAAGGCCGGATGAAGACAAGCACCGGCGTAGGACGATTCGAGAACCTCTGATAACCGAGGGTCCTGGAGGGTAGTCGGCCGGAGGGTACCAGAACGTCCGCCTGTCCGTGTGACCCCCCCGGCCGAACACGAACACGTCCCATCACTTGAGGGGAACACAATCGACACAAACAGAACCTTTCGAAGGTCCGCGCGGAGTTCTGAGGTGGGCACTGGGGCCCCTTCCTTGGCGCTTGGAACGCGCTGGGGGCGGCGCCAATGGCAACGCCCAGGGGGGGCCCGGCGCCGTCCTCCTTTTTCTTCCATCTCCTTCTCTTCTTCGTCCTCCCCCCACATGTTCTCAGAAAGGTTTCCACAACTGCTCGAGGAACACACAGTCCGATAGCTTGGCCGAGCTTTGGCCACAACGTTCGGCCACATAGGCGCTTCCTAAAGACAAGGGATGGCGGTGATTCGCCGTAGGCGTGGTCGACGAAAGTAGCCCAGACCAACCGGAATCGGACCCCCAGCCCCTCGTCCTTCCTTGCTAAATAAAAATACGATACGGTGCACATGCATTGATCTAACACGCGGTTTATCACAATCTCCTGCATAATATACGATGTGGGGCACATGCACTGGCCGCTGCGCGCGCTTGTCACAATCATTCGAGCAGCGAAGACATATTCTAGCACGTGTAAGGCATTAGCATTCACGACATATCAAAACATATTGTTTGTTACGCACAGGTTGCCAACAGTCTGCGCGCGCAGTCGCTTACATCATAGTAACACAGGTCATGCTTAGCCATTCTCTCGAATGATCCACGCATGCCGAATCGATCATCAATTCAACTCTGGCAAAGCTCAGAATTCCCGCGGACGAACACTTCAACATCAACCACATCATCTTCATCAGCACAATCGTTTTATCATCGTCAGCATCATTCTTACCATCGTGATGAGCATCACTCGCCCTGGTCAAAGCTTAGCGAGCGCGCACGTCTTCACCGTCCCAATGACCACCATCGTCATCATCATTACCGCCAGCGTCATCGGGGCATCGTCATGATCGCCGCCTTCATCATCATCATCATCATCATCATCATCATCATCATCATCATCATCATCATCATCATCATCATCACCCACACCATCATGATCAACATCACCACTAATCATCATAATCGTCGTCGTCGGCATCGTCCCCACTGCCGACATCAACATCATCATCGTCATCGCCGTGGTCGTTGTCTCAGCCGAGATGAAGTTTGCCAACAAGTTGCGGGTTGGTGAGTAGGACGTTTGTACGAGCAGTGGTGGTCACGCGCGGGTGTGAACACCATGAATTGCACTACATCGCGTTTACCACATGTATTGCACCATATAGCTTTCACACCACAGCTGAAACCACATATGTTGTGCCATGCAGTGTACACCAAATAGTTAGCACCACGTCGCTTGCACCACAGTGCTTGCACCACATAGCTTGCACAACACAACTTGCACCGCATAGCTTACACCGCATAGCTTACACCACATAGCTCGCACCACAGCGCTTGCACCACATAGCCTACACATCAACAGTACAACCACTTACTGTTTGGGGTCCAGGCTGGCAACATGTTGTCATTATTTAGTCTCTAGAGGCCTCTTGTAGGCCCCCTGGGGACCTCCAGGGACCTCGAGGGACCTGCGGAGGCATGATCCCTCATCCTCCTCTCTGCTCTGCCTACGATGGGGGCATTGGACAAGGAACCCTCAGATAAGGAATCCAGGGTCTGGAAGCCGGTGAAACTCCGATCGTGGATCGGCCATGTATACCACTGCTGCCCTCATCAGATAAGGACCCCCCCAGGGCCTGAAGCCTCCTGGGCCCATTCCTTAACGAACGCCCCCACCTCCTCCTCCTGACTCCTCCTCCTGCTCCTCCCCCTCCTGCTCCTCCCTCTCCTGCTCCTCCTCCTCCTGCTCCTCCCCCTCCTCCTCTTTCTCCACCTCCTCCTCCTCCTCCCCCTCCTCCTCCTCCTCCTGCTCCTCCTCCTCCTCCTCCTCGTCCCTCCTCCTCCTCCTCCTCCTCCTCCTCCTCCTCCTCCTCCTCCTCCTCCTCCTCCTCCTCCTCCTCCTCCTCCTCCCTGCTCTGTCCATCCTTCGCTCCCGGCCGCAAACACAACTGGGCCTTCCAACGATGGCCATCCACACGACGCTGACCGCCGAGGGAACGCGCACCTGAGCGATCAGCAGAAGTCGCTCGCGGCTGGGGGCTGGGGGGAGATGAAAGGCGTAAACAAGATCCTCAAACTCACTACGGAATTCAAGAAATACGTTCGGCGAAGCCTTTTTCAAAGAGCCCATCTGGCGAAACTAGAGCCCATTCGGCGGGATAGAGCCCATGCGGCTGATTAGAGCCCATCCAGCGCTTGCGCGGAGATTCGCCGAATGCAAATCCATTCGGCGCCGAACGGACTCTTTTCGGAAGGGCTGGGGAGAGTGGGGAAACCTAAAGGTACCGATACCGCTGATCCCTGGACCTCTGCCAGGGCGCGTTCTGGCCAAGATCTCGAGTCTCACCCAGCGGTGGCGACGAGAGCCTCCCACGAGTCCTACGAAGGCGAAAACGAACGAAGGGTAGCAGTATGGGTACTTTCTCCTCCTCCGAAGCAAACAGGAGAATCATAAAACAAGAAATGCCTCCTGGAACATCCTGGCCTGCTCCCCCGCCGCAACATTGGAGACCCCCCCCTCCTCCCCCTCTTCATGGTCCTGGGGCGGGGTGGGACTATCGGGCCCGCATCGGCGATCAGTGGACGTCTCAGGATCGATGCAACCCACCCCTTGGACTCTATCCCTCCTCAAGGTTGCCACTTATCTCCGCCCACCCCCAGGAGGAGGAGGAGGAGGAGGAGGAGGAGGAGGAGGAGGAGGCGGAGGAGGTCCGCGCACCAGGCAGCAAGACGTGAACCCGACCCCTGCAGGTCAGAATCCTGAGGCCCCAGCGCGAGTGCAAGATTCGAGGGATACCTGCATGAAGGGGCCCTGGGACACACAAAGAAATAGACACAAATAGCAGGAGTCCGAATCCCACCAGCCCTTTGGGCGTGAGTGGTTTAGCGAGCTCTCTCTGTTCTCAACCCCCCATCTTCCCCTTCGGGGAGGGGTTTACCCCTCCCCCTACCCCCTCCCCCTGGACAGGGAGTCCGGGGCGTAGTCAGGGGGGTCTTTTTTGTCTCCTGGGAGGGCCAAAACACGACGACCCTCACGAGGATTCTGGCCCCGTCGGGGGGATACAGTTTAGCCCCTCTGCTCTTCTTTGAAGCCAAAATCGTTGATTTTACTACGGTGTTGGCCCCATTTTGGCGTCCTGAGGGGGCCGCGCTCATCTTCCTTCATGGCAAAATCATTGATTTTACGAAGGTTTTTGGCTCATTTTGTCCTTCTCAGGGGGCAGCGCTCCTTTGCGCTTCTGAGGAGGTCGCAAGAGGCCCCCAGATGGCCCCAAGAGGCCCCCAGGAGCCTCCCAAGAGGCCTCCAAGAGGCCCCCAAGAGGCCCCCAAGAGGCCCCAAGAGGCCCCCAAGAGGCCCCCAAGAGGCCCCCAAGAGGCCCCCAAGAGGCCCCCAAGAGGCCCCCAAGAGGCCCCCAAGAGGCCCCCAAGAGGCCCCAAGAGGCTCCAAGAGGCCCCCAAGAGGCCCCACGAGGAGATGCCCCCAAGATGTCTCCAAGAGGCCCCAAGAGGCGCCGAAGACGCCCTCAGAGGCTACGACTACTACTACTACTACTACTACTACTACTACTACTACTACTACTACTACTACTACTACTACTACTACTACTACTACTACGACTTCGACTCCACGCCCGAACGACTCACACCAGGACGAGGCGCCCGAACGACTCACACCACGAGGAGCCCGAACGACTCACACCAGGACGAGGGCCCCGAACGACTCACACCACGAGGAGCCCGAACGACTCACACCAGGAGGAGGAGCCCGAACGACTCACACCAGGACGAAGGGCCCGAACAACTCACACCACGAGAAGCCCGAACGACTCACGCCAGGACGAAGAGCCCGAACGACTCAAACCACGACGAAGAGCCCGAACGACTCACACCAGGAAGAAGGGCCCGCACGACTCACACCAGAACGAGAGGCCCGGAGATATGCGGGGGCAGGCGGAAACACGCCTGAAAAACACGACTGTCGGCATGCTTCGCAAGAGTTGCTGTTTTGAGATGGGCTGGTGGGGATACGCGAAGCGTGAAGAATAGTTTCCTATATTGTCTGGGTTATCGTCTTCCCCCCCACTTTCCATAGTTTCCCATGTTTTCTAGGGAATCGACGATTAATTGTGTCTGTGTGTGTTTTCCCTCCTGACTGCAGCCAGATAATACGTGGCAAGGGTGTCTGGTACCCGAATGTCTACTGGGCCTGCAGAGATAGCTTAGGTTGAATGCTCGTTTTGGGGGACCTTCCTGGAGCCACTCGCTCCACTCATGCATGGATGCTGCATCGAACGTTTGTCGACTTGAGTCAAACAAGATTCGTGCTGGAATTGAGCTAGAATCGAGCCAGAGTCGAACATACCAAATGTGCCGCATAACAATCCCCAAAACGAGCATGCAAAGCAGGGTTCGCAAGTGCTCGCAGAACGCACACTCCCCCAAATGCATGGGGTATCCCGACGGTACCGATACCGCTACCCCCTGGACCTCTCACAGGGTATGTTCCGACCAAGACTTCGAGGCGAATCCAGTGGCGGCGACGAGGGCCTCCCGGGAGGCCCAGAACGGCGAGAACGAGGCAAGGGCAGCGGTGTGGGTACCTCATCCTCCTCTGACGCCTCCCCAGGTTCGTGCTCGCGCAACTCTTCCTGCATCCCACGAGGTCGGCGCGCGGCTTGTGCTGCGGGCGGCGTTTCGGCACGCTCGCCCTCGGGCCAGCGCGGGGCGTTGAAGGCCCCAAAGTGCAGGGAGGCCAGCAGGAAGCCGAACGCGCTGCTCTTCATGGCCGTCTCGATCGCGACCTCGGCTGCTTCTGCTGGCGGGGTGCAGAAGCAAGAGTTGCCCCAGACAAGAGTGACCGTTGGGGCTCGGCTTTCGGGGGGCGCGGGGAGGGGAGGGCCCCGCAGAATTGGCACGAGAAAGCCAGGACGGGGATCCACCGGACCAGGACAGATGGGTGATCCCTGGAATCTGGCGGCTCTGGAAGATGCGTCGGGCGCCGCAGCGTCCAGAGCGCTCCTGAACGCCGTGAGAACGCCCTGGAACGCTCTGTAACGACTCATCCGGGTCCTAGTCCCGCCCGATAATGGCCCCCAGCACCCAGACCCCTGACGTCAGACGTTTTCCTCACAACGGCGACCCCTCCCAGGGACCACTGTTTCATCCTCATGACTCGTTTTTCGACGGTCCCGGGGCCCTGGCGACGGCCCCCAGAGGCCGAAAGCAGCGACCAAAAGCCGTTCGCTGTTTTCCTTCATGACGCGGGACTCGGAGGAGGGAGAGGAGACTGGAGCGCCGCCGGGACTGGAGCCACAGCGAGGGGCAACCTTAGGCAGAGGGGTGGATGCATCGACCTCAAATGGCCGACACATCGCCCATGCATCTTCGACGCATTGTCGATGCAGACAGTTGGCGGTTGCGCTTGGGCAGCGTGCCCAGATGTCAACGATGTATTGTCGATGCATCGTGGATGCATCAACCATTCGAGGTCGATGAGTAGCATTTGACCGACCACTATCCACTCTGGCGTGGCTTGGGCCCCCAATGGCCGACTTACCCCCCAAGCTTCGAGGAGCACATCTCCAACTGGGGTGGTGGCATGGCGGGGGTCGGGATGGGATGGGTCGGCTACGCGCAAGAGTGACTCTAGGCAAAAACGACCTGTGGTGCGCTGCTTCTGGGGTCCGCCGGGGGGCCAAATCCAGGCGCGCAAGCCGTTGCTATCGTATGACGCTCAGCGGATTTCGGCAATCGGGGGGCCCCATTGGGCCCGCACCTAAAGGTCACTCTGGCGGAAGGTCACTCCTGCGTGTAGCCGAATGGGGATGGGGATTGGTTAAAGAATATCGGGTCGATGCATCCCCCGTCTGCCCATCCCCCCTTACCTGGGCCCCGCGCAGAGGGGGGCAGGGGGGGTTGGCTTCTTGGAAGGAGGCTGCTTCTTGGGAGGCGCGGGCCCTATAGCTATAGATGTAGGGCTGGCGCCTTCTAAGGAGCAACCTTCTTCTGAGAAATCTACCCCAGAGGAATAACACAAACACATTAACATAAACTTTCGACGGTCCGCTCTCGTTTCTGGGATTCACGCTGGGCCCCCCTCCCTGGCGCGCGGAGCGCGCCAGGGGCGGTGCCAGAGGCGCCGCCAGGGGGCCCCAGCGCGGATCCGAGAAATCTTCGCGGAGCGCCGAAAGTTTAAGTTTACAGTCGGGGTTGATGGGAGAGGACAATCGAGAGGACACAAGACCCTTCCGAGGGCCACATTGCCATAGGAATGTAAGAAGGCATGGGTCGCGAAGCTCAGGACACAAGGGTAGCTTTGATTTGGCAGGGTCGACATAATAATCAGTCTCGACTGTATGTGTTTTTGTTCTTCGACACCCCCCTCCCCAAAATCCAAATTACCCCTCCTTGCGCGCGCCACCGATGGTCGTTGCACATGGCACAGCCAGGGCCGGGGCGGCGGCATGCGCCTGAGGAGGAGGAGGAAGAGGAGGAGGAGGAGGAGGAGGAGGAGGAGGAGGAGGAGGAGGAGAGGGAGGAGGAGGAGGAGGAGGAGGAGGAGGAGGAGGAGGATGAGGAGGAGGAGAGGAGGAGGAGGAGGAGGAGGAGGAGGAGGAGGAGAGGAGGAGGAGGAGGAGGGGAGGAGGAGGAGGAGGAGGAGGGGGGGGAGGAGGAGGAGGGAGGAGGAGGAGGAGGAGGAGGAGGAGGAGGAGGAGGAGGACGAGGAGGAGGAGGGGGAGGGGGGAGCGTCCGTCGGGGGTCTTTGGAGACCGACCGTCCCGGAAGTCCTGTAGGCCTACCAGGAGACGTCCTGTAGAACAAGAGTGTGCTACAATAACAAAAAGCAGTGCTCCCAGAGCATGAGGCCGACGTGTGGAAGCAAGACGGTCCCGGCCAGACCTGTTCCAAGAATGTCGCGCAAGCCACAACACGCTCTCAAGCCACTCTTCGGGGGACCTATAGGCGAGCCAGGACGCCTGGCCGCTGCTTGATGGTGAGCGACATCCGAACCCTAGCCCCCACCAACCATCGATCCTCCTGGATCGATGGGAGGCGAAGGTATGGTTTGGGGTTTGGCGGTATGGCTCGGACTTCGCTACGTGTCCGACGGCTTCCGAACCCTAAATGATCGAGCCACTAAATGCGTTTACTAAATGATGTTTCGTCTTGTTTTGGTTCGGCGGCGCAATTTGATAAATCCGCTTCTCGGTTTAGTAAACCATTGCTTTCTCAATAATTTGTTTTACAAGCGCGCGTTCAATCATTACCATGACCAATGTTAGCCGGGCCCGCCGCCCATCGAAATGCATGCATCGCTTTGGCCGCCGAGTCGGGGGAGGCGCCGGCACCCCGTCGGAAGTGCGCCCGGGAAGGCCGCTGCCCGCTGCGAGCAGCGTCTGTGAGGGGGACAGAACGAGGGCCACTACCAAGATTCGAGACTGAACGCGGAACGTCGGTGTCGACCCAGGCCACCGTCCATCTTGCGGCCCGCGTCGCATCGTGGATCATTCTCGTGGATCGGCAAAGGCGGGCATGGACTATGACCAAGATCGGCGTCGACCAAATCCCGTGATATCTGTCATGGTCCCGGTACCCGCCAGTCGAAATAAGTACATGGAAACACGAAGTAGGAAGGCGAACATTGTAGACTTGGGCCGAGCCCGCCCAAATAATAACACAGCACAGCAGAGACACATCGATCGTTGAAGTAGGAAGGCGCTTGAAGTAGATCGGGATGTGGGAGACCCAAACAAAAACTGCCAACGACCAGCCAAGATGTCTTCCCTCGAGCGTCCCCCGAGGGGGCCGGCGCAAGGCGGTCGGGGGACGCACCCGGCACCCCGTTGGAGGTGCGCCTCTGGGCCGCCTCCGGGCCCCTGCAAGCTGGGCGCGGCCACTTCCTCACACCTGGCGTGTTCGCCCAGCTTCGGGCGCAGGGCCCCCCCCCACTCTTTCACACCGGGCGTGTTCGCCCCGCTTCGGGCCCGGGGCCGCCACAGATCGAGTGGGCCCGCGGAGTGCACCAGAAAGGTGGGTCGAGCCTGGGGCGGGTCGTGGGCTTTCGCGAAAGTGCAGGTCTGCTCCGCAGCGTCGGATCTCAGGACCCCGAGGAGGGCGGAGGAGGAGGGGCGGAGGGGAGAGGGCGGGAGGGGAGGGCGCGGGGCAGGAGGAGGGCGAGGGCAGGAGGAGGGGGAGGAGAGCAGGAGGAGGGCGGGAGGGGAAGGGACAGGGCAGGAGGGCGGGGGGGGGGGGCAGGAGGAGGGCGGCGCTGCGTGGCGGCGCGCTGGCCCGCGGAAAGGGGGAAGCGGCCGCAGGAGGCCTCCCGAGGTCCTGCGAGGCCTCGGGTCTCCCGAGGCCCGGCAGGAGCCACGCAAGCACACGGAACGGCTCCGCTTCGAACGATCCTCCCCACCCGAGAACGCGAGGCGGCATCCCCAGGGAGCACCGACACCCTTTGTGGACTGTCGGCCGCGGCATGCAGTCGCCACGACGGCACGATGCGGGGCACCCACGCAGCGCTGGCACGCTGAGGGCCTGGCGGCCGCGGAAAGCGGGGTATGCGAGGCGGCTCGGGAACTCTTTACTTGAGCCTAGCAATTCCAGATTGACGGGGTGGGGAATTGGAACCTCGATCCTCGACCTTTGTCTTCCCCCGCATCGAACGATGCCTGAGCCGCATGGGTCGTAAGATGCGCCTCACCTCTTAGAAACGCCGTCTTATACAAAAAACACCCTCGCCGTCGTAACTTTTGCTCGCCGCTGGCAGGCAACTCCAGCGACAATGCTATCGGCACAGGGCGAGCGGGCGAGGGTAGAACGATCTTGCAAAATCCGCCGACCCAGTCGGCGTGTGGAAGAGGCTGCTCCGTTTGACTCGTCTTCGTCGACGTCGTCATCGTCGTCGCCGTCGGCGCGCGCGTCGCCCCTGGGGGGGCGACGCACACAGGGTATTAATACGTTTGGGTGTCGCCGAATAGAAGGGGGCGGGCCGTCCGAAAAGCTCGGAAGGCCTCCGGTCTTTTGAGAACCGTTCTGAGCCTCCTCCGAAGCGAGTCGGGGGCTTCTCGGAGGGCTGGAGAGCTTCCAGATTCTGAGAGGCCCAGTCGCCTTCTGAGAAGGCCTCCTCCCCGCACAAGCCGGGGGCCGGTGAGCACATCGGGTCACGGAGCCCCCGCCAGCGGAGCTGGCAGGCTGTCGGCGCCGCCTGTATCGGCGGGGTTCAGATAGAGCCAGGGACCAGCCGCAGAACTGGCGGAGGGTGGCGGGGGGCTTGGGCGCCCAAGGCCCCCAGGAGGTCCCTCCCCTGGGGTGGGGCGGGGCACTGGATGGGCCTGGCTCGGGATGCCCCCCGCTGCCAGGCTTAAGTCCGGCGTGTCCCCCTACAGGGGATTCTCGACGAAAAATAAAAAATACCCCAAACATATTCCAAAATGGTCGAAAAATATTCTAAAACTAATCCCCATACTATTGTTTGACTAATTTTGAACATGCTCCCTGTAGGGGGACAGGCCCGACTTACGCCCAGGGCCCCCAGGGGGTCCCTCCCCTGGGGTGGGGCGGGGCACTGCACGGGGCGGGCTCGGGCTGCCCCCCGCTGCCAAGACCCCCCTGGCGCGGGGTCCCTGTGGCTCGTCCGGCTTGGTGCCCCTCCCCCTCCCCAGGGTCCCCTCGGGGCGCGGGCCCGCGCAGGCTCCCTCGGGCTTGCGGCGCCGCGAGCGCCGCGAGCGCCGCCCTCGCTGGCGCATGCGCTGCGCCCGCCACGGGCGGCGGCACCCGCCGCCCGTGCCGAGGGCGCAACGTGGCGCATGCACCAGGAGGAGGAGGAGGAGGAGGAGGAGGAGGAGGAGGAGGAGGAGGAGGAGGAGGAGGAGGAGGAGGAGGGGGAGAAGGGGGAGGAGGACAAGCTAGGTGCGCTCGCGTCATATCTGACATCCTACCCCTCCCTCCCATCCCTTACCATGGCGCAGATCCCCTCTCTACTCGCTCAGTCGGATGTCGAGCAGGGCAATGATCCCGAAAGGGTACGCGATGCATTGTAGAGCACGGCATGGCATGGCGTAGAAGAGGACCGCAAAGCGTAGTATCAACGTAGTATTGCATTGCATGCCGTGGCATGGCACGGGAAATGACGCCAGCGCTCCAGCGGGAACACGAGTCGAAACGAGCGGAACCGCGGAAATGAGGCCAGCGCTGCAGCGGGAGCACGATTCGGAACGAGCGGAAGCACGGAAATAAGGCCAGCGCTGCAGCGGGAGCAAGATTCGGAACGAGCGGGCCCGAAAATGAGGCCGGCGCCTCAGCGAGAGCAGCATTTCGAAAAACAAATGCAAGCGAAAACCCAACTCCGGGGAAACCTGTGTGTAAAAAAACAAGACGCGGGGGGGGGTCGGCCACTTTCAAGCCGTCATCAGGGGAAGAGGGAGAGCAGTATTCATAGTGAGTATTGTGGAGCAGGAGGAGGGGGAGGAGGGGGAGGAGGGGAGGAGGAGGAGGAGGAGGAGGAGGAGGAGGAGGAGGAGGACGGAGGAGGCGGAGGAGGAGGAGGGAGAAGGAGGAGAGAGGAGGAGGAGGGGGAGGAGGAGGAGGAGGAGGAGGAGGAGGAGGAGGTGAGGAGGAGGAGGAGGATGGAGGCGGGAGGCGGGAGGAGAGAGGAGAGAGGAGGAGGGAGGAGGAGGAGGCGGAGGAGGAGGAGGAGGAGGGAGGAGGAGGAGGAGGAGGAGGAGGAGGAGGAGGAGGAGGAGGAGGAGGAGGAGGAGGAGGAGGGGGAGGAGGCGAGCCTCACACGCTGTCCCCGTGGCGCGACGGCGCCTCTCGCCTGCTCGGAGAGCGCGAGGGGGGCGCCGGGGCGCGGGGGCCGGGCTGCCGTCGCGCGGGGCCCCTTATGTTGTTCCCCTCGTACTTGAGGACCACATCCCAGAAATAATTTCGAGCAGCCGGAACAGTGTCGAAACAGTGTCTCCCAGGGACCGACACGTGAAAACCATCCAATTTCGGTACTTTCCTGGTGCTCGAAATTCTTTCTGGTGGTCAAGGCTAAAGTAGGTTGGAACATCATAACCCTGGCCCCCAGGGCGGTGCGCCGCACGGCGCTTCCAGTGCGGCCCGCACTGCCCGGGGGTCGTGCGGCCCTGGCCTGCCCCCTTAGTGGGGGCTGCGCTGGGGTCCGCCGGGGGCTCCCGTGGCGCGGGGCCCTCCTTGTTTTGCAGTTTTTCTCGGCGAGGGTGGCCCAGGCCCGTCGCCTCTGATCACCCTGTGTCTCAGGAGCCATCGTTCTCATGGAGACTTGGCTGGCCTGCTCTGGATAGTCCTGAATAGTCCTTCTGAGAAGGCCTGCCCCCGCTCAATGCCATTCTCGGCGCTCCAGGGACCAACACGGTGGTTTTTCAATGGCTCGACCATGATACGACTAGCTCCGGATACGTTCCGTGCTCTCCGGAACGTCTGGCGGCCCCCGCTTCTGCAGCCCGTGCGGAACATTATGTGATCTGGGATGCCATGGGAATCTGGGAAATCTGGGAACAGATCACTACCATGACCTCTTGCTCCTCTGAAGATCACGGAACGCCATGCTTCCTGCTTCTCCCGCGGCTGCGCACGCGTGCTCCCGCGCAGCGGGCGGTCTCAAGGCGGCGGGCTTTTCGGCACGACCTCTCGTCGACGCCGGAGGCTCCAAGAGGCCCCCAAGAGGCCCCCGAGACGCCCCAAGACGCCCCCAAACGGCCCCCTCAGAACTGCCCCCAAGAGGCCCCCGGGAGGCCTCCCACGACATCCGAACTAACATCCAAGAGGCCTGTGACCCACAGCCCAGACACTGTCGCGGGATGGGCCGAAAGCCATTAGATTATGGAACGCCATTCTTCCCGCTTCACCCGCGTTCTCGTGCGCGTGCTCCCGCGCAGCGGGCGAGTCTATGGGCGGCGGGCCGTTCGGCACGTCCTCTCGTCGAAGTTGGCCACCTTCGTGGCGAAGTAGCCGAGGATGCCTGCGCGGCGGGGAGGGGGCCCGCACAGTCCTGCATTCCACACAGGCAACAGGTCAGAGCGAGGGTGCCCGAACGGTCCTACTTCAGCACTGGGCGCGCGTGGCCGTCGTGGGCCCGTTCCTGCTTGACGGGGGGTCCTGGGCGGAGGCTTTCGGCGAGAGCGCCGCCGCACCCCCACTCTTATCCGCAAGTGCGGGGTGCTACGTACATTCGCCGTGGGCTCGATCTGGCACATGCGTGTCCTCGGCTCTTAAGGTGACGCAGAGGCCACCGCCGCCGAGAGAAGCCTACCGGAGGGAGGCCGACCCCTGGGCGGTGGCACGCCCGAGGGCCTCGTCCGGTACTGCAGGGCGTTCGGGCGTGCCACCGCCCAGGGGTCGGCCCCCGCGGCGGGTTCTCACCGGCGGTGGTCTCTGCTTCTCATCTGGAGAACCTGGGGTAGGTTCGGGTCGGGCGAAAGGGGGGGATAGCAAAGGGGGGGTTTGAGAATCAGCTCACGTAGCTGATTTTCCCGGCGCCTCCCGGCGCCGGAGGCGGCCATGTATCGAGGAATGGGCCCCTCGGTGGGGCCGAAACCAGCTGCATGCAGCAAATTCCGTAACCCCCCCTTTCCCAATCCCCCCCTTTCGCCCGGCCCGATAGGTACCTACTACATCGGCGTTGGTTCCTGGCACTGCGGGGATCGTTCAACCTCGAACGATTGGCCGTTTCCGAAACGTTTGGATCGTTCAACATCGACCAGACCTGGGTCGTCGGCGGCGGTCAACGCTGAACGCCAGCGGCGGGGTCGCCGCTGGTCGACACGAACCTACCGTACCATGCGTACCGAGCCAACGGCGAAAATGCATACCCATCGGTCGGAAGAAGTAGGCAGAACCACGAAGTAGAAAGGCGTTTAAGTAGATTGGGTCTCCGCCCGCCCCCTGAAGAGAAGGGAAGAGAGGAAGCCACTCGATCATTGAAAATAGGAAGACGCTTAAAGTATATTGGTAGATGGGAATCCAAAAAGACCGACGTTCAACGACCGATCGGTATTGCTTTGCTGAGACGCTTGCCAGCGCAACCCTGCGCTGCCACGGCTGCTGCACAAGTCATAGCGCAGCATCTGCGGCGATGATGAACCGCTTGCACTTCTGATCTGGCATTCCTCCCTCCTCTCCCTCCTCGCCGTCTGCGGCAACCCACAGGAACCTCCCATGCCCCATACCATCTTGTTGGCTCTTGCGAATCGACGCTAATCGACGCTCAACCGTTGTTGATCGAAACAAAGTCGGCGCTTTCCAGTCGAGTACCAGACGCTGGCGCACGTTGAAAATGGGATTCCGAGGACATGCAATGATACGATTCGTTGCTACCGAACTCGTCCTTCCCTCCAGTCAACCACTGCGGACGCGGTGGACGGTTCGGGCGAGGAGTGATGGCGAGGAAAGAAGAAACTATATTGGCATGACCATGAACACTCAGGCGTTTCTGGATCTGCGTCCCCCTCCCTGGCGCGCGGAGCGCGCCAGGGGCCGCGCCCAAGGCGCCGCTGGGGGGGTGTCCAGAAAAATTCAGAGAAATTCGCGCGGGCCTTCGAACGTCCAAGTCCATGGCCAGTCTCCTTCTTCGAGAGGAGGCAGCGAGGCTCGCTCATCCAGCGTCGGATGTGGCAGGTGCCCTTCTCGCAACTCTGGGGCGGGGCGGGGTGGCGCGATTGGGCCACCCACGCCACCTGCCCGCCCTGAACCACGGGAGGGGGTCGAGGAGGACGAGGAGGAGGACGAGGGCGATGACGAGGAGTGAGAGGAAGAGTGAGAGGAAGAGTGAGAGGAGGAGGAGGAGGAGGAGGAGGAGGAGGAGGAGGAGAAGGAGGAGGAGCAGGAGGCGGAAGAGGAGGAGGAGGAGGAAGCTGATGAGGAAGAGGAGGAGGAGGAGGAGGAGGAAGATGAGGAAGATGAGGAGGAAGAAAAGGAGGAGGAGGAGGAGGAGGCGGAGGAGGATAACGCCACAAGCCCCTGCTTCAGGTCCGAGCAACGTAAAAACAGATAATGGAGAGGAGGAGGAGGAGGAGGAGGAGGAGGAGGAGGAGGAGGAGGAGGAGATCGTAGGGCAGGGCGCAGAGCAGCCGAAAAGGAGTTTAGGCGGCCTCGTCCGTCGGCGCGAGGAGGAGGAGGAGGAGGAGGAGGAGGAGGAGGAGGAGGAGGGAGCAGGAGGAGGGCAATGAGGGGGAGGACGGGGGCGGTGACGATGACGAGGACGAGCAGTTCCGAGGGGCGGGGCAACTCAGACACCTGACGTCCACCGATGTGTGACTTGGTCTGTGCCAGCCGCGGCCTCCGAATTCCTGGCCGCTCCCCCCGGGATGTGCAGATGTTCGTCCTGGATCCGCTCCTGATGCTCCCGACGCCCGAGCGGTGCCCCCCCGAGGGGCCGACGTCGAGGAACAGCACAGTTAGCCGGTGAAAGCCACGAGGTCGCCGCAGATCTGGGGCCAGGGGAAGCAGAGAGGGCGAGGGCGAGGCAAGGCGCCGACGCACGCCAAGAGAGAGGCGGCCCGACGAGAGCACGGCGGCTGGGCCGGAGCCAGGGATGCAGCTTGGATCCCTGCGTGGATTCACCAGCGTGGAAGTTCGCGGAGGAGGAGGGAGGGCGACGACGACGACGAAGAGCAGGGAGGGGGGGGAGGGAGGGCGCAGGGAGGAAGCAGTGGCGAGGCGAGCGGCACCAAACAAGAGTCGACCCTCCACCCTCCTCGTCGCCCCTTCCCTCACCAGTCTCCCGCTGCGCAAGATCAAACCCCCACCTGACGCGATCCGCCCACCCCAAAAGTGGAACGCCTGGGCGGACGGAGTGACGCCAGAGTCGTCTCCCCGCCGAACCGGCCCGAACAGAAAAGCTGGACGGCCCACCTCTCGGGCGCCCTCTCCACGCGGGGCGGGCGGCGAGGGCCTCCCAGCAGGTGCAGAGCCAGGCAGGCCAGCTGCAGCGGCAGCCCCGCGTTCAGGATGGGGGCCGCGCACTTTGCCACGGAGGCGCCGACGAGTAGCACCTCCGGCGCGCGGGCGGGCCGCCGACGGGGAGGAGGAGGAGGAGGAGGAGGAGGAGGAGGAGGAGGAGGAGGAGGAGGAGGGAGGAGGAGGAGGAGGAGGAGGGAGGAGGAGGAGGAGGAGGAGGAGGGAGGAGGAGGGAGGAGGAGGAGGAGGAGGAGGGAGGGAGGGAGGGGGAGGGAGGGAGGGGGGAGGGAGGGAGGGAGGGAGGAGGAGAAGGAGGGGGAGGGGGAGGAGGGAGGGAGGAGGAGTAGGAGGAAGAGAAATTGAAGGAGGAGCACCCGGCGGGCGCCAGCTACGGCAGGCTCGTGCCATGGCGACCAGGGCGCGGACGGGCCGCCGCGGTCGTTGCTTCAGGGGGGGGGGGGCGACGCAGTCAGAACTGGCAGTGGGGACGCGCGAGAAGGATGCCCAGGGCCTTCGACGCCCATGCCGACGCGTTTCGAGCGGGGCTGGCCGTGGAAACTTGTCGATGATGAACCGAAGATGACCGAAGAGGCGAGGATGCAATCGCACCCTTGGGAAGTAGATCATCCTCACTATCAGCGTTGACTGTAGGTGGGGGGCATCGTACAACTGTCCTGCCCCTTGTGGGCCCCAGCGGGCCCCTTTCGGGCACGCAAAGTGCACCTTTTTTCGCCCACCCCTCCGTGTATCGCCCACCAACTACGCAACGCTGGCGTCAACCTTGAACGCCCGCGCTGGGTTGGCGGCGCACACAAGGGGGCAGGAAAAGCTTCTTAGAAAGGGGCTGCTTCTTAGAAGCCGCTGGCCCTACATCTACAGACAAGGCCCGCGCCTTCTGAGGAGCAGCCTCCTTCTAAGAAGCCCTCCCCCTCCCCCTACCCCCCTCTTGACTACCTGCAAGGCCACCCCAAACCAACCCGAATACCAAAATTTCGGGCTTGGGAGCGGGTTCCACACACACATGTGTGTGTGTGTGTGTGTTCAATGTTCCCCGACGCCACCCCCGCTGGGCATGGCGGTGCTTGGTGGGTGGTGACCCCTGCGCGTGGCAGAGGGCCACCGGCGGCGTTCCACATGGAGCGCCCGCGCTGGCGCCGCAGTGCTGTCGGCACCACGCGAGCCGGCCGCACACACCTGCACCAGGCGCGTCCAGGCCCGCGGGGGCCCAGGGCCCCGCGCCTGCAGTCAGAACTGACGGGAGGGATGCGCGGTGAGGATCCAAGCACCGTGGACGCCCATGTCGAGGCTCTTCGAGCCACCCAGGGCCCAGGGCCCCGCGCATGCAGTCAGAACTGGCGGGAGGGATGCGCGATAAGGATCCAAGCACCTTGGACGCCCGTGTCGAGGCTCTTCGAGCGGGGCTGGCCATCGAAAGGGGTCAAGGATGGGCCGATGAGGCAAGGATGCAAGGGTACCCTTGGGAAGGTTCCCTTACTAGCATTGACAAAGCCCTAACTCTTCGGGAAGGGACCTAAGTTAGGAGGGCCAACAAAAAACTAGGGATCGTTTTTGTTGTTTCTGCTGATGCACCGAACCAAACCGCCCAGATGTATTATCCCGAGAGCAGTGCAAAGACTGAGACCTCAGAGAGGCCACGTCTTCGCTGCGTTGTTACGGTCTGGGGTTCCTTTGGTCCTCGATCATTGCCCGCCCTTGCTATCCCCTCCGGGCTGGGCCAGGGAGGCCCGTGCACCGACCCCTGGGCCCAGGGTTAGGTCGGGCGTGTTCCCCTACAGGCGGATTTGGAGTGACAAATGCGAAGTGCCCCCAAAAGATCCCCCAGTGGTCAAAAAATCATACCAAAATCGCCCCCAGACCATGTTTTTGACTGTCTGGGAGTCCTCCTCCTGTGGAGGGACGTGCCCGACGTCCGCCCCGGGCTGGCCTGCTGAGGACCGGCGCGCGGGCGTGCAGCCCTGGGCGCGGCCGCTCCGCCCTCGGCAGCAGCCCCGCCCGACAGGCGAAGGGCCGCCCAGGGAGCGCACGCCCCGGGCAGGGGCACAGAGGGGCTCCCAGCTTCGCGCTGCGCGCTGCGCGAAGCGCGCGGTGCGAATAGCTTCGCGCCCTCGCGCCGCCTCCCAGGGGGTAAGAGGAGGACGAGGAGGAGGAGAAATCGGAGCCGAACCGCGAAGCGCGAGCAACTTCGCGCCCTCGAGAACGCCCTTGGGGACAGTGCAGGGCAGGGCGGTCCTGGGAAGAGCCCAGGGCCGCTTCGCACACGCCAGCCATCGTGATGGGCTTGCTTTCCACCACCACCGGCAGAAGTTGGAGGGGGAGGGGGTCCTCCTCCCCCTCGTCTTCTTCCTCCTCCTCCTCCTCCTCCTCCTCCTCATCATCATCCTTCACCTCCTTTCCCCCTCCAACTTCTGGTGGTGGTGGTGGAAAACAGGCCCATCATACCGGGGTCGGGGTGGTTTTGTTCCCCCTTGATAGTTGGCGCCCTCCTACGGCAAAGTGTATGGTCGGCGCCTCCCGGGGGCATGCCGACAGGCCCGGGCCAGGGCAACAGCCAGAAGCCGGCGCCGGACTCCCCCCCGCCCAGGGCCTCTCAGAGCTCTCCCTGGGTTCCCCAATCTCCTGGAGCTGTTCAGCGGCCGCCAGAACTCCCAGGCATGCCTCCAAGACCTAAGACGGCCCAGCAAGGCGTCGCGACAGCTCCAGCGTGCCCCCGAACACTTGCTCGACATGAACGGGCAGGGCGGGGAATCGGAGAGCTTGGCAAGAACGTGCAGCACCCCTAACTGTCCACTGTAGCGCAAGCGCCCCCCCCCGAACCTCCACAACGGGGGTCTCGGGTGGTGTTCACTTCCTGCGCAAGTTCAGACGTGGCGCTGAACTTGCGCTGGCGGTGACAGCTTCCAACCTTGATCCCGACCTACGACGGCAACTCGTCCTCTTCCTGGTCTTCGTTCTCGCCCCGATCAACCTCATAATCCAAATCATGGTCACCAACACTGACTTTCACTACTGGCATCATCAACACCACCACCGCCATCATCATCAACGTGTCCATTCCAATCTTATATGTTCGAAGAGCCGTCCGGATGTGCCTTTCGAGGGTGTCTCGAGCAAGTGATTGCCTTGGCGTAACACTTGAACAGACATGGATTGTGTTCATAGAGTTCGCCTCGAAGGCGTCAACGTGAATATCCCCGTTATTGCATTAACGTGTAAGAAAGCAGGTTCAACATATCAATATACTCTTTACCATGAAAGGCGCCGACGTTGGCAAGTATCATGAAGGTAACGTGCAATAGCAACGTGGGAACTTGCAACGATAGAGGACCAACGTAATACTGTGTTCAAGGATGTTCTGAACGCTGACTTTCCACATTCTGATCGCACAGCATCATGCCATCACGTGTTGAAGCTTCACGTGGAACTTCCACGTGGAGGCAGCCTTTCGAGGGAATCCGCCAGGTGCGAATCGATGAGCAATCCCGAACCATTCTCCTCCTAGACCTCCGCAACTGATAAACGCTTCCCTCCCGGCCTCAGCACACGCCCACCGCTGGACCAGAAAACAAGCGGCACCACCCCACGTACGGCCCCACGGGCCGTGGCGTATACCAGGAGGGTTTGGTTTTTGCATGGTATGCGCTACGGCCCCCGATGGGCTGCAGCGCAACATGGCGGGCCGTAAGTGGGGTGGTGCCGTTGTTTCTTGGCCGAGACCGCGCGACTCTCTGAGTTCAAGCGCGCTTCCTGTACTTATCCGCCACCGTGCCCGCTGGCACGCCGAGGCGCGGCAGCATGCAACAAGGCTGCCCGGCAGTGTCCAAAGCAGGCTAAGGGAGCCAGGGCCGCCAATAGAATGGCCTGGCCCAGCACTGTCTCCCACAGACCCCGCATTCACACTCTCGGGCAAGCGTCCGCTTGCCGTAGCAAGGGCAACCTCCACGCATCGGCTACTCTGTTATGGAGAGAATCGGGTCAGATCGCGCCGTATCTCCGTTGCATCGGCGATGCTGCGCGATCCTCGGACACCATCCACCTACGCACTCCAGCCCTCGCTGTGTCCCAGAACTGTCTTAGATCTCCCAGGACTGCTCAGTGTGACCAGACAGAGACCCAAGGATGGGCTCCGAAGCTTCAAGAACGCCCATGGATGCCTGCAACCCGCCGCCATCGGGCCACGATGGTCCGTCAAGAGGGTGCCCAGTGTGGCAGGTGGCGAATCACCTCGGAGATAATTACTTACACCAAACCTCCTCCTCATCCACCATCCTCATTCCCCCACTCCTGCTCCCCCTCGGGAATCGGAGGTCGACGCTCCTCCAATTTCTGACACTTTCGGGCTTTTGAAGACCTCCAAGAATTCGCATCAACACCGGTACTGCTAGTGCCCGGGCGGCGTCATGCCACGCCGTGATCGGCCTCTGCGCAGACTCTGCGTGCTCTGTCGTGAGGCCCTGGTGGAGCAAACGGAGCATCGAATCGTCTGCGTTGCGTCCTCGGGGGGCACCCACGACTTCGGCGGACACCGAAGGGGCAGGTGGATCGACGCGTGTGCCAAACACTAAGATGTGAACACACACGGGGTGGCGGCCCTCGTGCATCACCACCGCTTCCTCGAATCGCTATACCAGCTCCCCCATTGGAGTGAACGACAAAATGGGCGTCGATCGTGATGACATCTTCCAAACTTGGAGCAGATCCACTACGCCAACAAAAAGCCTGATACCCTGGCGCCATCAAGGCATCTGCGATTCATTGTTGCTCGCGCTGGACGGAAGTTTTGGTCTCTGATGATGGGGGCCCTGCAACATCGATCAGATCAAGAACTGCTGGGAGAACTTTTCGAACACAGGGTCGAGACTGGGTGCATTCGGCGACACGCGCCCGCCTACCACCTCTGCTCATAGGGCTGTCGTGACGCACCACGGAAAAGCGTCCGCAGATGGCTGAAACTCACTTGCGGGTGGCTCTGGGGGGGATCAAGGTACACCCTGCGAAATGCTTAAGAAACCATGGGTTAAGAAATTCAGAGTCTCAGAACTTGAACAAAAAACCCATCATTTCTATTAAAACCTTGGGATTTACATTGAAAAGTTAAGAATAATCGAGACTCAGGACGAAAACTTAGGTTTTCTTAAGCATCGCCTAAGGGGTACCGATACCGCTGCTCCACGGCCCTCTGCAGGGGTGCGTTCCGACTATAATCCCCGAGAGCGAGCCCGGCCGTGGCGACGAGGGAGGCGCCGAGGCATCGGCACCTGTCCCTCCTTGAGGCTCGTGCTCGAGTCTGCCTTGGCACCCCTCCAAACCAGGACTTTGGGCGCCCGAGTTATCCGGGGTAACTCGGGTCCGGGGTAACTCGGGTTTGGGTTCCCGAAAAAGGAACCCGAGTTAGCCCTGACCCGAGTTACCCCTGATGATGTGGGGTTCTGGACGCCCGAGTTACCCGGGGTAACTCGGGTCCGGGGTAAGTCGGGTTTGGATTCCCGAAAAACGAACCCGAGTTAGCCCTGACCCGAGTTACCCCTGATGATTCGGAGCTCTGAAGGACTGCTCGTCTCCGCTGTGGGAGGGCTCTGGGACGGCATGATGTTGGGCAGGGGTCGACCGCCCCGGCATTCCTGTAGGCCTACCACGACAGGTTCCAAGAACCCCAAAATGTTCTAACCCCAACAATGTTCTTCGAACGTTAGCCCGATGTGCTAAAACAAGACGGACTCAGCCAGGTCATGTTCGAAGAACATTGCGTGCATACCACAGAAGGTACTTAGAACATTCGTTGGTGGGCCTGTAGGCGAGCCAGGACGCTTCGCCACTGCTTGATGATGTAGAAACACGAAGTAGGACTGCGAGAGGTCTGGCATACTTCCCCCTACAGACCACCAAAGGTTTCCCAAACGAACCCGAAAGGCTCCCGAGAGGCACTGAGAGTAGGCCCCAGAGAAACTCCAATGCGTGTCGTTCACTCAACCACCTTCACGCTGCACCACCCTAACGCCATAGCAACAGTTATCACAAACAGCTGAATAGACGGCTTCAATATTTCATGATGAGCGTCTGGTGCGTGAAACCAAAGATTCTGAACGAAGGAAGGCGTTCAAAGCAGACTGGGGTCTGGGAAACCAAACACTCATACCTCCGACGAAAGGGCATGCACTGCAATACTTTGACGGTTTTCCACGAGCAGCCTTACGGCTTACAGCGAACTTGAACCAACGATCAGATAGATATGGAGGCAAAGGCAAGTACAAGCACAATCGGGAAAAGTCATGAGGATGCAAGGCAGATGCGACGGCACTAGGCCTCTCAATTGCGACCACTGGCCGGCGAAGTTAGCTCGCTGAGGCCGCAACAAGACAAACATGCAGCACATCCTTGGCACAACACCTCGTCCTCCTCGGCCCCCCCCCCGCGGCAGCACCCTCCCGGCCCTCCTCCTCCATCGGAGGGCTGGCGGCTGCAAGAAGGGGCGGATGGCCCAAGGGCGAGCATCACGTGTACCCAGGGCCCCCCCCCGTGATTTCCTCCTCCTCCTCCTCCCCTCCTCCTCCTCCTCCTCCTCCTCCTCCTCCTCCTCCTCCTCCTCCGATCCACCCCTGTCCTCGAAGAGGCTCCCTGGCACACGCGCGCAGTGCCCGCCCCCGTGCCAAAAGCACCCTCTGGCCTCCGCCGAGGGGGGCGCGCGCCGTAGAGATGACTCCGACGACCGGCGTGTAGGTCGCGCAGGCCTGGCGCGGCGCGCCCGCCACGAGGCCCCCGCTTCCGACAGAGGGCGAGAGGGAAGGCGACTGCCCATCTTGTTGAGCTTGCTTTCCACCACCACCACCATGAGTTGGAGGGGGAGGGAGACTTCCTCCTCCTCCTCCTCCTCTTCGTCCTCCTCCTCCTCCTCCTCCTCCGACGGACCTGGACCCGCAAAAATGACGGCTGCGACGCCCTCTCACGAACCGAAAACGGCCAATTCGCTAATCGACGTGTCAGGGTAGAAGGTCTGTCCACCCCCGACTCCAGTCAGGTGACCCAGATGGGCAGTCGCCTTGGGCTCCCTTTGGGCAGAGATACCGAGATGACCCATGAGTGTATCTACGCGCGGCTACAATTGGGAGCCGCGCGTAGATACGCTCAGGTATCTGGGCCCTGTCCGACGGGGCTTCGCAGAAACGCCACATGACAGCGTGTAGAGTGTAATTGTCTGTCCAGTTCTCCTGGCGACAGGTGTTCATACATATATATTTATATATATATAAACATGGCTATTCATATGTATGTGTGTGCATATGATTATGTACATGTGTATGCATATGTGCTTGTATATGTATAGGTATATGTGTATGGTTTGATGTATATATAAATGTATATATATATATGTATGTATGCATGCATGTATGTATGTTTTTAAGTATGCATGCGTGTATGTATGTATGTATGTATGTATTTATGTAGGTAGGTAGGTAGGTAGGTAGGTAGGTAGTTAGGTAGGTAGGCAGGTAGGTAGGTAGGTAGGTATCTGGATATATGCGTACGTGCGTACGTATGTGTGTATGTATGGATTGCATGTGTGTGCATCAGTGTTGGTACATGCACCGTGATCGGGGCCGCCATGGCGCAGTGGACACAGTCCTGGTCCCGACGAAGCTTCGCGCACTGCGCCCCACGAAGCGCGGTTCCCTCCGCGCCCTCGCGAGGCCCCCTTGCGAAGGGCGGCTCTCCGGCTCAGGCCTCGACGCGCCGCGCGCGCCCACCTCCGCGCCCCTGAAGCTGCGGCCGCCGTCGGCCTCTCGGCCATGGGGGCGACCTCGGGGGGCAGCCTGGGAGGGGAGCAGCACGCGGACACGTCTGGCGACCCGTGCAGCTCGCTAAGACTCGCCTCTGTCGATGTCGCGGCGATGTGGTCAGCGTCTGGGCAAGCACGCGGGAGATCGCCGCCGGGCCATGCTGGCCGTGGTGCAGGAAAACCAAGACACATGCTGGAAACCGGATGTCAAGTCAGTGGGCAACACGGGCAAGCTCAGGGCAAGCCACGTGCGTGAATTCCTGCACGAATTCAGCACCAATCGCGCCAAAGTCGCATCCCGACCCACTGGGGGCGTGCGCGGTTTTGCTCCGCGTGGGCCGCGGCGTGCCTCAAATTGTCCCGTGGTTGGCCCTCTGGCTCCCCCGATGGGTCGCCCGAACGTCGTCCCGATGCTTGTCTCGTGGGTGTCCCGTGGCTTTTCCGTAATAATCCCATGGCAATCTTACCGTTACCCCGTGGTTGCCCCGTGATTGAGCCGTGGTTGCTCGGCGGTTGTCCCGTGGCTGTCCCGCGATTGCCCCATGGTTGTCCCGTAATTGTCCCATGGTTGTCCCGTGGTTGCCCTGTGATTGTCCCGCGGCTGTCGCGAAGTTGTCTCGAAAATGTCGCGCGTTCGTCCACGAACTGACCCGAGGATGGCCCGCGGTTGTCCTGTGGTTGTCCCGTGGGTGTGTTGCGGTTGCGGTTGTTTCGCGATTGCTCGGCGGTTGACCAGCGGTTGCCTTTTAGTTTTTTGTGTTTGTCCCGTGGTTACTCCGCGATTGTCCCGCCGTTGTTCGGCGGGTGTCCTGTTACAGGACACCTGTAAATGTCCAGTGGTAATCCCGGAGCTATCCCGTGCCCGTGGTTGTTCCGCGGTTATGCCGTATTTGTCCTGTGGTTGTGGCGTGGGTGTCGGTTGTCCCGTGGTTGTCCGAGTCCCGTGGTTGCCCCGTTGCTCGTTTTCCCGTGACTGTCGATCGGTACATAATGAGCCGAAAGATACGGATACAGACTAATGCGTTTTTCCTGATATTGATAGATCGGCTGATGCGTATATCGATCAACGGACAGGGAGACCGACGCATGATCTGATCGATCGACATACTGACGGTGAGGTGGGCAATTGCGCATTCGATCGATAGCGGGGCCGGCCAATAGAAACTGCTATATATACATGTATACACATGTGTATATATATATATATACACAAAGGAACGTGATCCACCGCCGCTTTACTGTGGAAAATTCCCCCCCCTTTCCTGCGGAGAACCCGGGGTCCCCCCCCTCCGACCCCCCCCCCCTGCTGGACCCCGCCCCTCCCCTCACCCCCCCCCCTTCAGAAAACTGGGGACAGGTCACTACCGATTCGAACCCGCCCCCCCTCCCTCGAAAACCGAGGAAGGTCACTACCGGTTCGAGACCCCCCCCGTCGAAAACAAGGGAGGGTCACTACCGTTTCGATACCCCCCCCCCCCGCGAAAACCGGGGGGGTCACTACCGATTCGAACCCCCCCCCCCTCGAAAACCGAGAACCACCCACTGTCCAAACAAGGGAGGGTCACTACCGTTTCGATACCCCCCCCCCCCTCGAAAACCGGGGGTGGTCACTACCGATTCGAGCCCCTCCCCCCCCCACGCTCACCGCCAGCAAACGACTCCCAGGTCCCTACCACCGTCCGCACCGCATCCCCCACTGCTGCCCCCAGCACCAGTCCTCACCACCACTGCCCCCACTGTACCCACCACCGTCCCCACTGTCCCCACCAGTGCCCCCACCACTGTCGCACTGTCCCCACTGTCCCCACCACTGTTCCCACCATGGTTCCACTCTCCCCACGGCCCCAACCACTGTCCCACTGTCCCCACTGTCCCACTGTCCCCGCCGCTGTCCCACTGAGCTGTCCCACTGTGCCCACCACTGTCCCCATTGTACTACAGTCCCACCACTGTCCTCACCACCGCATTCACCACTGTCCCCACCAGTACCGTCCCCACCAATGTCCCACTGTCCCCACCACTGTCCCGCTGTCCCCTCACCACTGTCCCCACCACCACCGTCCCCACCACTGTCCGCACCATTGTCCCACTGTCCCCGCACCACTGTCCCCACCATCACCGTTCCCACCACTGTCCCAGCATCCCCACCATTGTCCAACTGTCCCGAGGAGCGGGAATCGTTTGCTGGCGGCGAGGGGGGGGGCGGGGGTTCGAACCGGTAGTGACCCCCCACGGTTTTCGAGGAGGGGGTGGCGGTTCGAACCGGTAGTGACCCCCCCCAGTTTTCGAGGGGGGGGTTCGAACAGGTAGTGTCCCCCCCCTCTCCTTTCATGATCGACTGGGGGGGGAGGGGTTCGAAGCGGTAGTGCCCCCCCCCGGTTTTCGAGGGGAGGGTTCGAACCGGCAGTGATTCCCCCCCGGTTTTCCGCCAGCGGCGGTAGACGCTCTTTTATATATGCAGGTCCCCCACACCAGGCAAGCATAACAAAAACACCATGACCTAGACGAGACACCCACGGGCCTCTAAGGCTCTAGTGGGGCTCACGCTGTTTCTTCTTATTCTAGAGACGATGCAACAATGGTGTAGCCGGCTCGGTCACCGGCAAGATCAGCACCACTGCACTGGAGGTCTGGACGCCGACCCCCAAAGAGCACCGAAACTCAAGCTATACAGGGCGGGCGGGTCGGAACGCTTGAGTCGAACGGTTGCGGTTCGGCGCCCATCCCCTTCCCTGCTTGCTTATACATTGGCATGTAGGGAGAAACAAAGACAAGCACGTAGTCAAGGCACCCAATCGTCTCAGGGTCTCTAAGGCTCTACAGATGAGGCTCACGTTGTTTGCTTGTTCTTTCTATAGAGACGATGCAGTAATGAAAAAGCCAGTCTGGTCACCGGCAAGATTAGCACCAGCGCGCTGGAGGTCTGGGCGCCGACCCGCCCTTCGCTTCCAGAGTGGTGAAATGACTGTCAGGCCGCCAACTCCCACGCCTGTCGGAGTCTCTTTAACGACTCCACTCTTGGCCAAGTGTCTGGCCACCACCGAGCGCAGCTTTTTGGGATAAGCGGTGGCCATGGCCGCGCGTCTGGCGGGAGCCCCCAGGCCTTTCCCCGAAAAGATGATGCGGGGGCGCCCCAGCGTGCCCGCAGATCTCCTTGGACCGGCTGCGCTGGCGCAGCAGCTTATCACGATGTCCGGCCCTCCGCTGCCCGAAAGTCGTAGCCCTTCTCCGTTGGGCACCAAAAGCGCAGTAATGAAAATGATGAAGTCGGCAATCGCTGGCGTTGAGGAAGGGGGCATTCGGCGGCGCCAACCATGGGCCAAATGTGCAAGGATTCTCCAGACCCACTGGGATTCCATGCCGTCTACACAGGCAGATAATACAGATCGAGAAAGCGAGAAAAGCGCTTCCGACATTGACTTTCCCGTGGTGGTCGGCTGACAGGCCACTGACTCCCATGGGCTCAGACGGCGCGCGAAGCGTGGCGCGTGCCGCGCGAGATCAAGAAGTGCACGGTGCGCCGAATTAGAGAGCGAAGCCGGCGCTGGACGCGATCCAACCCTTCGCAAATCCAAAGGGGGCAAGTGGTCCTCAAACGCGCCGCGGGCCCAACCCAGCGATGGGGCTGCTGCGCCGAGCAGCCGCGCAGACTCGGAAAGGGCACCGTGGCCTCCGAAAAGTCCAGGGCACAGCGAAATCGCAGCGCGCGCCTCTCCCTGCCAGGTCGCTTCATCTCAGCGCCGAAACGGCGGTGGAGGTGCCGGGCGACGTCGGCATCGGAGGCGGTCAGCGGCGCCGCCGCCCAGCGCCGTGGGCGCCGCGTGCCCGCGGGGGCACAGCGGCGCCCGTCGCCGAGCGCGGGCGCGGCGAGCCCCCGCGCGATCCGGGCGCGCAGGTCGGCGGGGCCGCGGAACTGCTGCAGGTTGGCCGCCGGCGGCTGGCCGAAGGCCCCAGCCTCCAGGCGCGCCGGGTCGAGGGCGGCCAGCAGCCTGAACTCCTTGTTGTGCCGTCGCAGGGGCGCCTCGCCCTACCGCCGCCCTCCCGTGCGCTGCAGCCAGCGGCCTCGCGGCGGGCCGATGCAGATTGGGCCGCAGCAAGGCCGGCCTCGGGCGGCCCGCGAGGGCGCCGAGCAGAGCAGCGCCCGCCGGGGTGGCGCGCGGGTCTGGACCGGCACGCGCGTCCGCCAGGCCGCAGAGCAACTCGCCGCCAAGGGCCGCGCGGGGCGCGCCGCCCGCCCCAGCTCGTCGGGGCGCCGGTGGCCGGGAGCAGGGAGCGCCTGCCATCGCGCGTCCGACCCGAGGCAGAGGTGGGCGAAGAGGCCCACGAGCAGCGCCCACGTGACACTCAGCGAATCGAGGTCCGCACCCGCGTGGCCGGGCCGCCGGCGCCCCCGCCGCGCGCGGGGCGCTCCTGGCCGGCCGCCCCGGCGCTCGTCTCATCCCCCGGCGCGCTGCGTTCACCCTTCCAGAGGTGCGGCACCGAGGCGCAGCGGGCGCCCGTGGGCCAGCCCAAACGGCCACGGGCCAAATTCCACCCTGACGGCACCCGCCCGGCAACAAATCTGTCGCCAGATAAAGGTGCTGATGCATCAAAGTTCCCGAAAGACCTGACGGGGATGCGCGGTTTGGACCCCCGCGGCCGCCGCTGGGGCTATGGGGGGGGGGGGGGGGGGCGCGGAGATCATGCACTCGGGCCCTGAGATGCTCGCGTTGTGGATCAGGTGATTGGCCGCCAATGTCGCGGAGTCGCCCTCGGGGCACGGGATGTCGGCCTCGCCCGCGACCTCTGTTGCTGGGGCCAAGGGCCGCGAGCCCTCTTCGAAAATGCCCCCGGGCGTCTCGTTGGAGGCCCTGGCCCACTGGCGGATATAGCGCGGGGGCGGGGCGTCCAAGAAATAGTCGCAAATGTGGTTTGCCTCTGGGTTCTTCGCGGGCCCCGGCCCGCGCGCCCCCGAAGAGCATGGGGGCGGGGTGGCAAAGGCGGAAGACATCGGTTTCGCGCGCCCTTCAACCTTGAACCTCTACTTGTCCGACCATCGGCCCATCGGGCCCGCCGCGCTCGCGTCTGGCAGCCGCGAACGCGACCCGGGGCCCTAATGCGGAGGCGCCCGACACCGCATCCCACTGGCCCCGCGGGGCAGACAGATCTGGCGACAAAATCGGGTGGGCCCCGCGCGTCCACGCGAGCTCTGCGAGGGCGCCAGACCACGGGCGAGTCGGCTGACCGCCGGCCGCCCGCTGGAATGCATGCTCATCTGAGAACAGGGCCAGGCGCATCCTGCGTGTCAGCCCCGCCCGCGTAAGATGCCCCGGAAGGGCCTCGGCCAATTCCCCGCTAACGCGGCGCCTGCGAGCGACCGCGCCCAGTTCGCGACGGAGGCGCCACGCGGCGCGGCGACGGATCGATGGCGACCGCGGACGAGCCCCCCTCCAAGAAATCGGCGCCCTTAGAGGCGTCGGCCATCTCGTGGACCTTGCGGCCCAAGCCCGGCGTCTGGCTATAGCGCCCTGGCCTGACTGGGCCCTCGGCGCCGAGCGGAAGAGCGCGAATGAATTGTCCGCGCGCCCCGCCGCGACGCGAGACTGCCCGTCCTGGAGGGCCCTGCCCGGCTCTCCACCCAGGATCATCCGAGGCCGGGGGGGCCTGGATACCGCCTGAACGAAATGCATGGCCCAAGATTGGCCCAGGGGGTGGGCAGCGAGCGCGGGCGATATGGAGTCAGACGCCGCCGCGGGTCGCCTTTCGCAGAGAGCCATGCCGAAGTACCCCGCGGGGAAGCCTGGGGGGTGGGAAAAATCGCGCCACTCCTCGGGCATGCCGATGCGGCAGGAGCATTTAGCGATATCGCCCCCAGACGCGCGCGCGCGCGCCCGCCCGTCCCCTGGCCCAACGGAATTCCAAGCAGCAGCGGCGTGGGGCCTCGCTCAAAACGGGCCCTCAGAATATGCACTTGCCCCGCGTCGTAAATCAGCCTGAGTGCCCCAGACTTCCTTCCCAGCGACAGAGAAGATGCCAAACTTGGCGCGCGCTTCGCTGGAGCGCCGAAAAAGATCAAGTTTCTCTGGGCGAGGTCTTGAAGGACATCCGGGTGACGGAAGGGCCTGCCCGTCAGAGCGCTGTCAGTGTAGGGCCCTCGCAAGCAGGCCTCCACCGCGGGCCGGCGGCCTCGCTCTCCAGCGCAGATTACTGCGCGTTGGGCCCAGACACTCCATGCCGCCTCCCGCCTGAAGGGCGCGGGCTTGCCGGCGCCAGCGGGCAAGGGGTCGCGCCCTGCGGCGCGGGGCCGAGCGCTTGAAGAATCCGCGCGGCGCAGGCCGCTGGCGGCGCAGAGCTCGGCATTAATTGGCCCCCGCGCCTCCGGGCGCCTCCTCTGGAGGAGTCCGAATTGCAAGAACTCGGGCTCGGAGGGCCGACCGCCAGGCAGCAATGGCCGGCCGCGGCGGCAGCTCGGACTTCGCGCGCCTGCAGGCCGAATTCAGCGAGTCGATGCAGTCGCTGGCCCAGCCGATAATCTTGTCGCCCCTCCCGCGCCGCTGGTCAACGGCGTGGCCGCGCCCGGCGCCAGACCGACCCGCGCCGCTGTGGAGCGCGAGCGGCGGCAGCGGGGAGATGCCCCGCCGTCGGAGGCCCACCCAGTCCAGGTTGGGCTCGAGCCCGAAGAGATGCACTGCGAGTAAAAGCTGCGTCGGGCGTGCGAAACCCAGGCGGGGGCCTGGAGGTGACGGCGGGGGTGGCTCCTCGTCGCCGGCTGCCCGCGTGTCCATCGTCGCCGTCCCCGCCCTCGCCGCCATTGGCTTTTGCAATGGACTGGGCGGCAGGCCGGCCGGCGGCGCGCTTTTCTCGCGCCTCCTCCTCTCGCACGTTCTTGGGCTAGCTCCTGACTGACCGCGCGCGCGCTCCGTCCCCGGGCGCAGGCGCTGGCCCATGCTCACTGGGTCCGAAGCTCCCGCCGTCCGCTCTCGGCACTTCTCCTCGATGATCTGCAGACAGTCCAGGAGCTCGAATCTGCCCACCTCTGCCAAGTTCAACTGGTCGAAGCGCGCTGCATTCTCGAGGGCGGCGTTGATGCGCAGGTGCTCCTCCGCGCCGCCCTCGCCACTCAGGCGGCTGTCCTTCTTCCACCAATGGTGGCGTGCAACGTGCGGCCACCATTGCTGGCCAAGAAAGAGTATGCCTACCTCCGGGAACGCGGCCCCCTCGTTGGCCAGTCCGCCCACGGCTTCTCCGACAGCAAAGGAAGCGCGTCCGTGAAGGCGCGGTGCCGCTTCACCATCGTATCCGCCATCGCTGGATGCACTCTCAAGTCGGCAACAGCAGCCGCCAGGGCGGCGGCGACCAGCGCGGGCCGAGGGGCGGCCAGCCCCCCGGCTGCCGTCGCGGCTGCCGCAAGCGCGCCCACAGTGGGCAGGGCGGGCGCGGCCGGCGCTGCGGGGAGGGCGCTCGCCAGAGCACCGGTGGGTCCGGCGCCAGGGGCCAAGCGTCGCGGCCAGGGCTGCCAGCCCACCGCCGTCTCCAGCGCCCGCAAGGACAGAGCCTGGGGCCGCCGGTCCTGCCGCGACGAGCTTGGCGGAGCAGCCAGCGGGGCGGCAGCCGCCCCGATCCCAGCGGGCGGGGCACCCGCGCGGCCCACCGTGTTTGGCGCGAGCGGGGGTCCAGGGGTGACCCCGCTTAGCGCCGAAACCTTCCACGGTCCAGAGTTTGCACGAGCTCCGCAGCCAGCGGGACTGCCCGGCAGCGGTACAATCGAGCTCCCGCGCCGCCCGCGCCAGCTGGGGCCGCGCCGCCCTGTGCGCCTCCACCAAATAGGAAACGCCAGGTTGCTGCGTCTCGCCCGGAAGCACGGTCCTCCTCGTAGGTGTCTCCGTCTTGGGTGTAGCAGGTGGCGACAGCGCCGGGTTGGGCCGACAAACACATATACACACGCACGCACGCACGCACGCACGCACGCACGCACGCACGCACGCACGCACGCACGCACGCACGCACGCACGCACGCACGCACGCACGCACGCACGCACGCACACACACACCACACACACACACACACACACACACACACACACACACACACACACACACACACACACACACACACACATACACACACACACGCACACACACACGCACACGCACACGCACACGCACACGCACACGCACACGCACACGCACACGCACACGCACACGCACACGCACACGCACACGCACACGCACACGCACACGCACACGCACACGCACACGCACACGCACACGCACACGCTCGTGCCACAGCGGCGGGCACGGCACGTCGAAACGGACCAAGGAGAACGCGCTCTCTGCGAGGCCCGCAACCGTCAGCCCGTTCACGGCCATAGCTCTCCTCAGGCAGTCCGCCGAGACCGCATCTGCCGCGCTCAAGCGCCTCCGCACGCAAGTCGTCCTCCCCCCGCGGCGCGGGCTTAGCCCCCTCGAGTGCTGGCACGTCCGCCGCGCGAGAAGCAGTCGGTCCACTTGCAATCGCTGCAGCCCGAAGCGGGGGGCCAGCCGCAAGGCGACTGGCAGGTGGGCCGGGGCAAGCCCAGCCCGCCGCACAGCAAGATGACGAGGGCCCCGCCAGAGTAGTTGTGTCCGCAATGCACCGTCGGGCACGCGGGGCAGGTGACAGCGCAGCTGCAGGCTGGGCAGTCGTACGCACAGGGTGCGCAGATGTGGCCGGCCGAACGGATCGCAGCGCCGACGCCAACCCCTCGGATCACTTCAATGAAACCCTGTTGTAGGAAGAGTTGCATGGAAAAGCGTGGGCTCACGCTTGAGCCGAACGGCTGCGGTTCGGCGTTCATACCCTTCCCTTCTTGCGTATACAGTGAAATATGGAGATAGTTACAAATTTGTGTGCGTAGGAATCCGACGAGGGGCCTGGTCTAAGGAACAATCAGTATCCATGCGCCCAGGGCGGTCCTGAAGAAATTCATGCCTCAAAAGCCGAATCAACCAACACTGTAAAACCATGCCCTGGATTGAGGTGTGATGAAAACCCTCCCGCCAGAATGCCATGACACTCAAACGAAGGGCCAACGAAGGGCACACCCGCCACGCGCCCTCCCAATACAGGCACACGCAACTCCGAAACACTCGCTGTGCGACACGCCCGCCAAGCTCCTGCATCGTCACCCCCACAAGCGAAACAGACAGTCTCTCTGAAGGCCGGTGGGCATTCACAGCCACTCGGCCGATGCGTTCCTGCCACCCTGGGGATTCTGGGCCGCAGGGCCACTTGGCCGCTGGGGCCTCGGGCCGTCAGGCCACTGGGTCACTCGAGGCAGACTGGTGACCGCAGTGCAAGTAGGCCACCTGGCCCACACGGCAAGCGGACCATTAGCCCCCAGTGGGCCGCTGGCCCGCTGAGCCATTCGTAGTCAGCTCCGCGCTGGGAGGAGTGCTGCCGGGCAGGTGGCCCCCCTGGCCCCCCGTAGTCCAAAAGGTAGCACGTCCCCTGGGCCTCTGAGCTGCTGTTAACACTTCGGTCGAAAAACCCATGGCTAGAATGGTTCCAGAGAGCCCCTCGGCCATCGGCCGTTGCGCCATTATATTATTTGGACATGCGGCGCAGCGTGCCATTCTGCCAGTGGACTGGTGGGCCGCGGCACCTCTGGGCAATCGCTGGACCACCCCAAGGGTGGTGTTATAGGCATCGCTTGGCGGGCGGCGTAGGAGAGTGGCGACAGTCTCATCGATTCATGTTGTGTCTGGCGTGGCGCGGTCGGGCTTCAGAATGTGAAAAAGACTGCGCGCGTGTGCACATGTGCGTATGCGAGTCAACGTTTCTCGGTTGTTTCCCGCACCTGTTTTCCTGCACGCTTGCATTGACCCGCCCCTCCCACGGGGCTCCAGGGCCTTCTGCGAGCGCACGTATCAACGCAGGCTGCGCATTGCGACTGTGCAGACACCAGTGGTGGAAGAACGAAGTGCACGAAGTGCGCGGATGTGTGTCGGTGCGAGTGCGCGTGCGCGCACGTGTGGGGGGGGGGGGGCGGGCGTAAAGGTCTGCATGTCGTGCGCGCGTGCGTGCGTGCGTGCGCGAGATCGACGAGAGAACCAGTACGGGCGTCGGACGCCTGGAATGGGGACAGCGAAGATAAATAAGGACGATGCCCGACAGCAAGTGTTGTCCCAAGCCGACGGCGGCCGCTCTTGGGCAGGCGCTCCGCGTTGCAAACGTGGGACATCCGCGCCGACTCCGACAGCGAACCCTGTTCCAATTGATAGGAACTGCTGTCGGCCTCTGTCCCGTGTTCCAGTTTCACAGAAACTGCTGTCGGCCTTCGTCTCCAATCTTTCAGTCCCCATGTCGGTCCTGCTAAAGCTGGGCTTGCTCTGTGAGCATTCCGCTTGGACCTCCTCGGTATCCCTCTCATCGGAGATGCATACTGGATGTGCGAACGCAGCACGCCCTCGCCCCCTAGCATCCGCAGCTGTTGCCCCAACGCATTTCGACGCGTTCCGGCCCAACGTCTGCATGCCAGCCTCCGTTCCAAGCCCATCCCCTGGTGAACGAGCGCGGGACCCCTCGTGCCTTCCTCTGGTGGGGCGGAGCCTTGCAGAGGCCCGGGGCCAGGGTGTTGGCCGCCACGCCGAGGAAGATCGGCGCCAAGACCACCTGTGAAGCCGTCCCGCCACTCGGAATTCTCTCCAGATCACCTGCAGCCCATCTCCATCCTTGCACCGTCAGCGTTCCAGCTGAGACCACTGCCGAATGTAAGAAATAGCAATCCAAACAGGTGGGCGCGAAGTGCAGTGGAAAAGCATCACCTGAAATAGTCGAAAACTCTACTGGCAACAGTGGCTTGGTGTCGGAACACGCATCCCTGAGCGCGTCGGCCTTGGCCGCGGCTCGCAGAGGACGACACCTATGAGTGTTGCGCAGCCGACCGCTGTCCCCCGTGGGCGTGACCTGGGCCCCTCTGGCCGATGTATCCTCCTGGATGGGGAAGTGAGCCATTTCCTCCGGGTTCGTGGCAAAATGTTTGGGCTCTGGCTGGATAGACTCTTAGGGAGCCCACAAAGGACGTACGCGCCCAGCTATGTACATGAACACGGCCCCTCGATTCGCGAGACCGACCGCATGATACGAACATTTGAGCAATGCGTGCTCTCGAAACCAGCGTGGATTCATGTACATGTACGTCCTTCTTTCGCTCCTGATAGACATGGGAATGGGGAGGAGAGGGCGGATCAACGATGCCGATCCAGGATGCCCCCCTCTCGCAAGGGCACGCACCTCGCAGGGGCGGGGGGGTGGGCCGCGACCAGGACTCGGCACCCGGCCGGGCGGGGAGGTCGACCCTCAGGAGAGAGGAGGTGCCGCTTCCCCGCCTTGCCTCCGAAGCGACCGGGGGGGCGCACTTGGACCTCGAGGGCCTCGGGGGGGCCACATGCGCCTGCGCCCAGCAGCGCAGGCGCTCCAGAGGGGCAGCCGCGATCATGGGAGGTGCGATGCTCAGGTCCCTGGCGCGCAACAACGCTGGCGCTCCAGAGGGGCAGCAGCGATCGTGGGAGGTGCGGTGCTCAGGCCCCTGGCGCTGGGGAGCCGTCCCTTTGCGCACTGGCCTCAAGCTTCCAGGGTGCCATGCATCCGCGCGCAAAATCGGTGGAGCTGCAGAGGAGCAGCCGCGATCGTGGGAGGTGCGATGCTCAGACCCCTGGCGCATGGCCGCCGTCCCGTGCCTCTGCCTCGCCGTGCCACCTGGAACGTGGAGACCACGATGCCCATGGCGTCGATCGGCACGATGGCCCCCAGCACCAGTTTGCAGATCAGCGGTGTCATGAAGATGCAGCCGATCGTCGTGGACGTCGTCCTGACGGACGTGGCGGGAAGACTGAAGACTTAGAGAGCCCCGGGGAGGTGGAATGATGGGCCTGTGATGCCCAGAAATCCAACGTCGAGGGGCATGTCAGAGAGCAACTCACGGAAGCCTGTGGCTGTCCCCATGGCGCTCCACAGAGCGTCCAACAACGCCCAATCACGCGCAACGCGGACGCCATGCATCTCCACCACATGGCTACATTGGCGCCATGCGGTCGCTATTGGGCGCTCGCTGAGCGCTACTCGGCGCTACTGGGCGCCATTGGACGCTAAGTCACGCTGCTGGGCGCGTGTCGCCGATGTACACTCCATCCAAGACGAGCCGAAGCTTCCGCGATTTGCTATTTCGGGAGTCTGCTGGGGCCTGCCTGTAGATGGCCGCAGGAGGGCCCCAGGTGGCCCAAACCAGCGGCAAGGACAACGCAACGCTGCCCAATCTGGCACAAGATTGCCCCCGGCATGGCTCTAATGGGCCCCAAGACGGTCCGAAGACGGCCCGAGGTGGCTGCGAAGCCTCTGAGGGACGTCCCGGGGAGGCCATATTCGTGAACAAAGTGTTTGACCGTGGACACCAAACAATGGTCTCTCTTGCACGGTCGATGTGCGCTCTACATGGTGCAACATTTGGGATGTAATATCTGCGTTGAACAATATGTAAGTGCAATATCAGCCACCGTGCCCCGAAGCACGAAGTGGAAGGTCCTCGTCCGGATGTAATATCTGCGTTGAACAATGTGTAAGTGCAATATCAGCCACCGTGCCCCGAAGCACGAAGTGGAAGGTCCTCGTCCCGAAAGTCCTTCCTCGCTACTCAATATTAAAACCCATTATTAAACAGCTCAGAATCCAAATGGTAAGATTTCTGTAGGCTTCTCGCGGCTTGCAGCATGATTTTCCTCAAGCCCGTGAGCCCCAAGACGGCGCAAGATGCTGTCAAGAGGAGGAAATGACGGTCCAAGAGGGCGCCGACTCAGCGCAAGAGCGTCTTTTGGGGTGTCTTGGATGCCCCAGGAGCCGACAACATCATGGAAACACGCCACGCGGCGGTTGAGTGATTTTTGTTGTATTCTCTGCTTGTACGTCCCAACCGCGTCCAAGACTGCCCAGAAGGCCCCCAAGGTCGCCACAAGACGGCCCAGGAGCCACCGAAAGGGGCACGAGAGGCCCCCAGGACTGCTCAAGAGGGGGGCTCGGGCGTCAGCGCCCGAGCCAAACTGGCACCCTCCCGAGCAAAGGCCACGGCACAAGCATCACTGTCCTATTAGAGGAACAAGAACTATGCACATGCACCGATCCTGGCCAGGCCCATCCTGAGCCCAGGATCGGTGCATACGCCCTCCTGCCTTGGCCAGGAAGGCATATGCACCGATCCTGGGTCAAGGGTGGGCCTGGCCAGGATCGGTGCATGTGCATAGTTCTCCTCGCCCGATCCTATCCAGGATCGCAGTGCCCGTGTGAAGAACCTGGATGCGCTTTGGCCCCCCCGCCCCCCCGCCGCCCCCCCCAGTCATGAGCACGCTGAGGGCCACGTCTCCGCCGGCGATGAGCGTGCACAGGTTGGAGGCCTGGCCACCGTTGATGGACCCGACCAGCACCATGCCTGCGGCCCGCCACGGAGGGATCGGGGGTGGGGTGGGGGAAGACCGGGAGCCGCCTCGGTGGCAAACGGCGGCACCACCCCGGAGGACTCCCCCTGGGGCCCGAGCAGGGGGTGTCGAAGGATCGAGCCGCAGCGCCGATTCAGCGGCGAAGCGCCGGTGATGCCTCGGCGACGTCGGCAGTGCACGGGCGACGCTGGCGTGGAGAGGAGCGGGCTCTACATTGAGCCGTGTCGGCGATGCATCGGCGATGCGACGCGATCCACGGACCCCGTGTGAAGTGCGGACGCGGCCGCAAGCCGCAAGAAACCCTCGCACGGAACCCAGCTCGGAAAACCCGCGTGCGAGAGGCACACGGGGGGCAATGCAGAGGCACCCTGAACGCAGCAGCTTCCCCAAGGGCCGCGGGGAGTCACCGCGCAGTGCGCGGAGCGAAGGCACCCAGGGTACCCTGACGAAGAGCATATGGTTTCTTGTTGCGCGTCCCCACTGTACTCCGACCCCATCGAGGAGGCCCAGACACTCGAAAGATTTCAGCGTTCTCGCTTTCTTCGGCTCTCAGCGGCCCAAGACGGCCCAAGCGGCCTCCAAGACAGGCTCCAGGACGGCTCAAGAGGCCCCAAGAGGATCCCAAGACGGCCCGAAGAGGCCCCCAAGACGGTCCAAGAGGCCCCCAAGACGGTCGAAGAGAACCCCAAGAGAGACCAAAGGCGGCCGCGAGAGGCCCACAGGGTGACTTCCGAAGGGGTCGTATGGCGCAAGAGCACCAGAAGGCGTTCCTGGGCGCCCTCAATAAGCCCAAGAGGCCCCAAAGAAGCCCTCAAGAGGCCCCAAGCAGCCCCCCAAGAAGCCCCCAAGAGGCCTCCAAAAGAGCCCAAGAGGCCCAGAAAAAGGCCCCACCAAGCCCCGCAAAGACTGGAATGTACGTGCTCCGGACGTGCACCCCGCGAAGCCAAAGGAATCAACGTCCGGAGGTGACGCGCTGAGCTGCAGCGTTTTCCGGCGAACGCCCCAGTGCAACGTATTCGATGTATGCCAAGTTCTGCGTAATTGCTACATCTTGAATTCGGGCCACCCCTCATCCGTCGACCCGAAAGGGGAAGACCCCTTCTGGCCCCAAAACCCTGTAAAAACAGATGGGGTATCTATGATTTGGGTTCCGGGGGCCTCTTCTTTGGGAGAGGGCGTCAAGACGGCATCAGTACGGGCCAAAACGGCCCCAAGACAGTCCAAGATGGCCTACAAAGCCTCCAAGAACGCCCAAGAGGGCCCCAAGAGCACGCCAGCCCCTCCAGAGGCCAAAAACATTGATTCCTGTAGCCTTCAAGGATCTCAGCGTTCTCGCCTTTCTCGGCTCTCGGGGGCCCATGACGACCCAAGCAGCCTCCAAGATGGCCCCCAAAACAGCCCCACAGGCTCCCAAGAGGAGCCAGAGACGGCCAAAGGAGGCCCCAAGACGTCCTGGAAAGCCTCCCAAGACGGCTCAAGAGCGCCACTAGACTGCCCAACTGCTTTTAAACACAGACGAGTCTGCCCACCAAAACAGCCAAACCGCCTGAGACATCCCCACAAACTGGCCGCGAACGGGCCCGTGAAAATACCCCTGGCGGCTCCCCTTAGGGGTGCTGAAACCAGCGCCCCGCCTGAGACATCCTCACAAACTGCTCTAAACGCAGACGAGTCTGCCCACCAAAACAACCAAACCGCCTGAGACATCCCCACACACTGGCCGCGAACGGGCCCGTGAAAACACCCCTGGCGGCTCCCCTTTGCGAGTATGAGTATGAGTAAGCGTGAGTATGAGTAGGTCTGAGTATGAGTAGATCTGAGTATGGGTAAGTCTGTGTACGAGTAAGTCTGTGTATGAGTACGTCTGGGTATGAGTAAGTATGGGTATGAGTAAGTCTGTGTATGAGTAAGTCTGTGTATGTGTACGCCTGGGTATGAATAAGCCTGAGTATGAGTAGACATGAGTATGAGTATGTCTGAGTATGAGTAAGTCTGTGTATGAGTAGTCTGGGTATGAGCAAGTCTGAGTCTGAGTAAGTCCAAGAGGAGGGGAGGATAAGAAGAGGGAGTAGGCGGCGTCCAAGTAATAGCAAGAGCCCCATCTTAGGATATGGGGAACAAGAACCCCATCTTAGGATATGGGGAAAACATTCGGGGGGAAAAGGGGGGGTACTTTATTATCGCCCGCACTGGGTTTTAACATTGTGGCATCTTGGGCCACTTCGGGGCCCAAGGGCGCCAAGTCAGCCCGAAGACGGCCCCAAGACGGCCCCAAGACGGCCCAAGAGGCTCTGGCCCCCCACGAGCTGCTCCAGAGGCCAAAGAGACAGATTTTCAAGCAAGTGTTGCCACATGCCTTAAGCTGTCCCAACAATGCCACCAAGACGGCTCAATAGGCCCCAAAAACGGCCCACGAGGACTCCTGGAGAGCCAGAAGGCGGCCCCGAGAGGCCGCCAAGACAGCCTCCGATGGGGCCAGACGTCTGCAAGAGGCTCCATAGAAATCCCCAAACGGCCCCACGAAACCACCAGGACACCCGCGGAATTGTATACGAATGGCGCGGTGTTTCTGTGCTCATCGAAAGTTGAACTTGGGGTTGCCTTCTGCTGGCGCACGGTGAATGCCAATTGCCCTCGTGGACAATCGCACGCTCGTCCCGGCGCCGAAACGGGGGGTCGCATCCGCCCCCCGTGGTTCTGGCAGCGCCCTGGGGCGGACAGAACGACACGGCAGAAGGACACGGCAAACGTGCAGGGCAAACCATCCAACGCCTAGTCTTTACGTGATCTGGACGTGCACCCCACGAAGCGAGAAGAATCAGATCCCCTCCCATTTATTATGAACTTCGAAATGTCGTTCTGCCAAATCGGCTGCCAAGCCTAAACGAAATCCATTCGACGGCCGATCGGGGCGCCAAACCGCAGTCTCGAGGCTCACAAGCGAACCTGGGCTCGCTGGAGTCGGCCCTGCCACCTGGTTTCCTTCTTGGCCAAGGAAGGAAGCCAAACGGCAAGGGAAGGGTCTGGTCGTCCCCCTGCAGGAGGGGGGAGGCCTGCTTTGCCAAGGAAGGCAACCAAACGGCAAGGGAAAGGCCTGGTGGTCGCCCTCCGCCCCCTCCTGCAGGGTGCGGGGTCGAAGGGGGGGGACTGGCTCGGGGGGGAGACACAGACCCAGAATCGGCGAAACGTCGCCGAGCGATATGTTGCCCACGTTCAGCGAAGCCTAGCTTTCCTGGCAGGACAGGGGCAATCGGGCTCCCCTCGGCGGTGAAGAAGCGATGGAGGGTCGATGCATTCACTCTTGAGCCTATCCCTCAAACGCTTCCTTCTATCATTTGTGTCATAACTCGGCTATCCAGAAGCCGCTCAAAACACGATCCAGGCACCCCCGGGAACGCTCTCAGCGAAAGGCGCAACTGCTGGAAAGCATCCAGGGGCGGGAAAGCCGCCAAACATCAACGACAAGCTCGAACCTCGAACCTCCCTAACGTGGCCCACCCGACCGCTGCTCCCAAGAGCTCCCCTGGGATGCATTATGAGCAGGAATTCGAAGCGAGTCCAGCCGTGGCTACGGGGGACCCCCCGAAGACACAAAAAGGGCGAACAACATCCAACAAGAATCGAGCCTCGAAATTTGGGCCTCGAACCTCGAGCCCGTTCCCCCCCGAGCGCTGCCCTGACTGGGGGTCCCAAGCGGTGTGGTGACACACCGTGTGGTGACCTGGAAATTCCAAGGGACCTCACCAAGCCGTCCATCACCGCACGGCTTTGGAACCCTGGAGGCTCTGGTCGCCTAAGGATGCCATCGGAAAACGACACGAGCCCCAACACCGTGCGGGGGGCCCGAACCCCCACCGACCCACCAAGCGGTGTGGCCACCGCACCGGGGGTCCTCCTCCTCCTCCTCCTCCTCATCCTCCCCTTCTTCTCCTTCTTTATCTCCTCCTCCTCCTGCTCCTCCTCCTCCTCCTCCTCCCTCCTCCTCCTCCTCCTCCTCCTCCTCCTCCTCCTCCTCCTCCTCCTCCTTCCTCCTCCTCCTCCTCCTCCTCCTCCTCCCCTCCTCCCTCCTCCTCCTCCTCCTCCTCTCCTCCTCCTCGTCCTCCCCGCTCACCCGATGTTTCTCCTCCACTTCCTCCTCCTCCTCCTCCTCCTTCCTCCTCCTCCTCCTCCTCCTCCTCCTCCTCCTCCACTTCCTCCTCCTCCTTCCTCTCTGCTCCTCCCATCTTTCCCCTCTCTGGTGAACGTCCTTGGAAGGTGACGCAAATGGGGGGGGAACGCACGTTTCCCAAACGAGGCACTTGGAGGCGAACGCCCTCTCACATCTAGTACGTTGCTCGATTTGAACGTGCCAGTTCAGACGACGGCTCTCCCAGCTCCCCAACGCTTGAGGGGCAATTCCTAGCGTGGGCCCAGAGTTGCGCCACGAACATCGCGCGCAGCAACTTCCCGCTCAGACATTTTGATGAGCAAAACCGGTGACCGGCCAAACATTGCAATGCGTGAAACTGTCTAAAGTTTCCTTAAACTGCACCTGTGGGTCAGCACGTGGTTCGAAACTGTCCCTAAATTGGACCATTGGGGGTCACCTGATACATTGCACTGGCTGAGAAACCCAAGAGTGCATTCGTTTTTGGCGGGGCACGGTGGCCGCGCGCACGCGACCCGGGCGTCGCCGCGAAACCCCTCAGGGTCAGACGTTGCTCTCTTAACCGGCTAATGCTAGATGCTTCGTGCGAGCAGCTTCCACTGCGCAGCAAACCGCGCCGAACATGCACAGTGCAAAACAACGAAGAGCCCTTCAAGGACCCCTAGAGTGTGCCAGAGGTGCTGCTTCCTCCACCGCCAACTGCAGACCCCCACTACTACTCAACGATCCTCTGTCCCTCCTCGTCCTCCTCCTCGTCCTCCTCCTCCTCTTCCTCCCCTCCTCCCTCCTCCTCTCCTCCTCCGTCCTCCTACGTCTGCCTCCCTGCGTATCCTCGTCAACGTCCTCGGGGGGCTCCCTCGGGGGGCGATGTGGAGACTTTGCGAGAGTGTCTTAAGCAGGAACCCCAGATTGGGACACGCCTGGGTCGACTTTTGCGAGGATGTCTCGAGCGAGAGCCACAGACTGGGACACGCCCAGTGCGCCACGGCGCGCCCTGGCCCGCGCCGGCAGATACCCACCTCCTCCTCCTCCTCCTCCTCCTCTCCTCCTCCTCCTCCCTCCTCCTCCTCCTCCTCCTCCTCCTCCTCCTCCTCCTCCTCCTCCTCCTCCTCCTCCTCCTCGTTATCCTCCCTCTCCTCATCCTCCTGCTTCTCCGAAGTTCGTGATCCCTGCCGCCCCTCCTCGTCCCTCACCGCTTGGGCCCCCGTTTTTGTTGTCTCTCTCTCTCTCTCTCTTTCTCTGCGCCTTCCGCCGGGAGAGGACAGGTGGCGACATCTGAGCCCGACCCCCGCCCATCGTAGGGTCCCCCCGAATCGGAAGCGCGGACTTCGCCGCGGGCCCCCCGAAGTCCGTGCCCCACCCCGCCGCCCACCGAGCTGCCCGGATCGTGGATCGGGGAGGGGTCGGCTTCGGATGCCGCCGCCGAGGAGAGGCCCCGCAGGACTGATCGGAAGGGGCGGGGGGGGGAGAGGCGGCGCGCCTGCCAGGATGGAGCCCTCGGCGCCAATGGCCTCGCGGGGGTGCGAGGGGCCGCCCTGGTCTGCCCGAGTCTGCCCCCCCCCTCCCCCCCCCTGGGCACCTCCTCCTCCACTTCCTCCTCCTGTAGCTCCGCCCCCCTCGTCCGCCTCCGCCTCGTCCTTCTCCCCGTCGTTCGCTCAGACACTTTCCTAAGGATTCCGCACGAATGGGTCTCTTACTACGGCGGCGCTACGAATCCGTGCTAAGGATTCCATAGCCAATGCCCCTTCACAGCGGTCCCGGACTAAGGATTCCTCACCGAGGGTTCCTACTGCGAGCCCGTGGTTAAATCCGCCGATCCGGCGTGTGAGTTTCAAGGAGTCTCAGCTACAGCCTCGAGGCTGAGCTTCAGCCTCTGGGGGGGTCGCCGGGGTGGCTCTGCCGGGGAAGGGGGGGTGGGGGGGGGGGGGGGGGGTGCGAGTTTCCGGCGAACCCCGGGGCCGCTCCGGGGGAGTGGAAGATAGGGGGGGGGGGGGCGCCATGCTCCGCTTTTTCCGGCGCTTTGGAGGAGGGGGGGGGCCCAAGAGACCCCCAAGGGGTTCCAAGAGGGCCCCGAGTCGCCGAAAAATCGCTCCAAGACGCCCGAGATGGCCTCCAGACGGCCCAAGGTGTCTCCAAGACGCCCCAAGAAGCTTCCAAGAGGCCTCCCAAGAGGGCCCCAAGAGGCCAGAATCGTTGATTTTCATTGGTTTTCTCAGGGTTTTTAGCGTTCTTGCCTTTTCGGGCGTCCGACGCTCGAAGACGGCCCAAGAGGCCCCCAAGTCCGTCCCAAGACGGCCCACGATGCTTCCAACACGGCCCAAGAGAGCCCCAAGACGGCCCAAGAGGGCCCCAAGACGGCCCAAGAGGGCCTCTGGACAGCCCAAGAAGGCCCCAAGAGAGCCCCAAGAGGGGCCCAAGAGGGGGACCACGAACCGAAAGAACCGAGCTTTCCGCCCCAAGAGGCCCCCAGGAGGCCCCAAGAGACCCCCAAGGGGCCCCAAGAAGCCCACAAGAGGCCCAAAAGAGGTTCCAAGAGGCCCCAAAACAGCTCCCCAGAGGCCTCCAGACTGCCTCCGGCAGGCCCCCGGTTTCTTCCGCGGCACCGCCCAGGGCGCCACCGGCAGGATGTCCTCCGTCTCATCGTTTTCCTTCAAGTTATCGCCTCTTCCTCATTCTCCTCCTCCTCCTCTGCGACCTCACTCCTATCCCTCAACGATCGCGTCACCGAGTGCCTCTTCTTTGAAACATCCTCGCTCTTCAAACGCACATCCATACACACATGCATACATACCTACATTTAAACACATTTGCATACATAGAAAAACAATCTTCCAGACATACATACTTACATTCACACACATACACACATATTATCATACACACATACAAACATACATACAAACTAAATACATACATACGCGCACAAGCATACATACATACATACGTACCTACACACAGGCACACATGATCAATGCATGCATACATGCATGCACGCGTACATACACACACATATATCGTGAAACTCACCGCGTGCTCGAAACTTGAGAGAGACCGCGGGAAGTCGAGAGAAGCCGCGGAACGAGGCCTCTACTACTACTACCACTACTACCACAACCACTACTACTACTACTACTACCACTACTACTACTACTACTACTACTACTACTACTGCTACTACTACTACTACTACTACTACTACTACTATACTACTACTAGTACTACAGGAGCGTTTCCCAACTAGTATGTGTGTGTGGGTGATGCTGTGTGCGCATGTCTGCGGCGCAGGTTAAGTGGTGTGACTGTGTGTGTGCGTTTGAGTGTGCGCCCATAATTTCTGCGTCTGGAGAATAACCCCGAGCGACCCGGATCGGCGGCACTGGCCGAAGGCCACTACAATAATCCTTCACAAGGGTTCTTGATTTCGGATTCCTTTTTTAGGATTCAAGAGGAAGGACAATTTACGGAGGACTCCTGAATAAGGAGACCTGACTAGCATTTCCTGTCTAACGATCCCTTACGTCGGACTCCTCACTAAGGACCAAGGACGCCCTACGAAGGCTTCCTTACTAAAGGCTCACTGCCAATCCTTCCTCAGGAAGGGTTCCCTAATAAGGACGACTGACGAAGGGTTCTCTAGTAAGGAGCCCTCATACGGATTCTTGCATGATGGTTCAGTATTAAGGGGCCTGTCTTAGACTGTTCATTATTCAGGCTTTCTTGCTCAGGGTCCCTTGCGAAGGTTTTCCAATTCAGGACTCCTTCCCCAAAAACTCCTCACCAAGGGTTCATTGCTGGGGAGCCCTTACCAAGAAGGCGCTACTAAGGATTCCTGACTAAATATTCCCTGGTCAAAATCGATGAATAAAACGCTCCTACGAACATATTCCGTACAACGTAATACGGGTTCAGAATAAAGGGTTCCGTACTACGTTCCTGCTAAATAAAAGGCACAACTGTTTTGTTCACGGCTCCCGACTAAGAATTCCTGCGTAAGGATTCCGAAGGACCCTTTGCTACGGATTATTTGCAGGCAGAATATTCCGTACTAAGGTTGCCTTACTGAGGGTTCAGTATAAGGTTCAGTAGAAGGCTCCCCTACGACGGATTTCTAGTAATGATCCTTACCATGAACTCCTTGGTAACGCTTCCTTACTAAGGATTCCCCACTAAGGCCGCGATAGTGATGAACCTGGACTTGCGATCCCGCAGGGCCTCGAAGGATCCCTGGGCTTCGCCAGGATTCGCAAGGATCCGCCGAGATTCCATTGGATCCCTGTGGATTCCGACTGGACGGGGGGGCAGGAAGAAAGCCGTTGGAAACAAGTTCTTCTGTACAAAACCACACGCGCACAACAAGAACACGAAAAGACAAGCGACAGACGCAACCATATGCAGTGGTGGGCAACGCCCTTGTGGGTATCGTCTTCGGTGGCGCTCCCTCAGGGGCCGCGGGGCGTGGGAGGGTGTGCTGACATCGGCGCGGCGGTGCCATGCGAGCCCAGCCACTGGGCCCCTCGGTGGGGCTCCCCACGGGGCCACGAAGATTGTGCCTGAGGGGTGTGCCGACAGGGGTCCGGCGGTGCCCTGCGAGCGTAGCCGCTCGGGCCGTCCTCTCCTCCTCCTCCTCCTCCTCCTCCTCCTCCTCCTCCTCCCTCCTCCTCCTCCTCCTCCTCCTCCTCCTCCTCCTCCTCCTCCTCCTGCTCCTCCTCCTCCCTGGTTATTCGCCCTCCTCGTGCTCCCTTCGGTCCCTCCTCGTCCGCCTCCTGCCCCCCTCCTCCTCCTCCCGCCTCCTCCCCCGCCCTGCTTCCTGCCGCCTCCGCCCGCGGGGCCTAGGGCACTGCAGGGGCCGGGCGGCGGAAGCTCGGCGGGCGGCGGAAGGGAGGGCGCTGCACACCTGAAGGAAGGGGAGGAGGAGGAGCGGGAGGAGGAGGAGGAGGAGGAGGAGAGAGGAGGAGGAGGAGGAGGGGAGGAGGAGGAGGGAGAGGAGGAGGAGCGGGAGAGGAGGGGAGGAGGAGGAGGAGGAGGAGGAGGAGGAGGAGGAGGAGGGAGGAGGAGGAGGAGGAGGAGGGAGGAGGAGGAGGAGGAGGAGGAGGAGGAGAGAGGAGGGAGGAGGAGGAGGAGGAGGAGGAGGAGGAGGAGGAGGAGGAGGAGGAGGAGGAGGAGGAGGAGAAGAGGAGGAGGAGGAGGAGGGGGGAGGAGGAGGAGGAGGAGGAGGAGAAGGAGGAGGGGGGGGACCTCCTCCTCCTACTTCTCCTCCTGGGCGCTGGCTCGAGCCAGAGCGCCCAGCGCGCGGCCCGCGGCCACCCGCGCGGCGCGCGCGACGGAGCCACGCCCGAGCGGGGCAGATCCCGCTCGCCCGAGCGGCACAGGAGGCTGAGTCGAAAGCTGGGCGAGGGCTGCTAAAACCGTGGCTGCTAAAACGGCCCTCCCGGAAGGAAAAACAACTTCCCAGAATGAGGCGCGGCACGCGAAACAGTCAACGGGCTTCTTCCCGGAAGGACGAAGACAACTTCCCGGAGATCGGTTTTAGCAGCCACGGATTTAGCAGCCCTTGCCCGGCTTCCGACTGAGGAGGAGGCGCTCCTCGGAACGCAGACTCCTCTCGCTGGCGCAGGCTCGCGGGGTGCTGGGGTCGCACCACGGCAGCATGGCGCCGAAGACCTGGGACACGCAGGGCTGGTCCGAGGGCGGCGGCTTCACGTGCACGTGGAAAGGGTGGATCAACGACGAGATCGGGAAGCCAGGACTGCAGCGCCGCCACTGCAAGTCGTCGTTGAAGAAGCCTTGGAGCTTTAAGCAGACGGAGAACAACATGAGCTGGAAGGCGTCGGGCAGCTACGGTGACCAGGGGAGCCAGAAGCGCGGCGGCCAGAAGGCGGAGACGAAGGAGCTCTCGCAAGCGCGAGTGCTCATCGCGGAGAAGATGGGGGGCATGAGGCTGCAGAACGGCGAACAGCTGGGCTCACAGCTCAAACGCTTCGCCAAGAAGATCGAGCTGCAGATCGACCCGCCGAAGGTGAAGTCCAGGCCTGAGAGACTAGCGGAGGCAGCCGAGGCGCTGAGGATAGCCAACAAGCACTTCACGGCGGTCGCGTCGGAAGTCAAGAAGCAGCGTGCGTGGCTACGAGAACTAGAGGAGAAGATGGAGATGAAGGCGGCAGAGGTCGCCAAACAGGAGGCGAACCTGGAGGCGATCCACTCGGAGGGGGAGGTCACCCAGAACCAGAGCTTCCCCTCCGAGCACCCCTGAAGGCTGACGGGACAGCCAGGCAGGCCGTCGCGGAGGCCAGGCGCCAGGCGGAGGGTGCTCGAGGACTCGCACGGCGGGGCGAGGTCGCGCGCTTATTAGTTTTGCAGGAGCACGTCCGCACGGCGAGGGAGGCCGCGGCCAAGAACGAGGAGACGACCAGGCAGGAGGCGAAGCAAAGGAAGGTGGACGTGCGGAATGAGGAGACGCTCAGGCAGGAGGCGAAGAAGAAGAAGGTGGACATCAGGGCTGAACCTAACGGCG